AATTAAACATTTTCGTATGCTCTTTATCTAAGTATCGCCGCTAATTTTAGAGCTTTATTAAAATCAATTATGAATCGATTTAGTTTCGTATAAAGTCATCTAAAAATGGCGGGAGTTTTAATATTTTTTTTTTAATTTTGTAAGTAGGATCAGAGACGTATATATCACGTCTCTTGTAGGATATATTATGCATAAAATATCGTAATAGATACGATGGGCGATATATATTTCTGTTTACAATTTGTTTGAGAAATTACTTATATTTTGTATTTTTGCTTTTTCACTGAATAAAAAAAATTGTATGAACAAGAAACTTCAACAGTCCTGGTCTCCGACGCTGTAATTTACATGATGTATACACGGGTGAAAAAATGGATATATCTTTCGGTCTGCAGATTCAGTATAACTCACAGCGCTATGGACATATATAGCGGGAAAATAAGCATATTATTATTGCATAACACTTTTTATTCCAAAATAGTCTTTATTACATCTACCATTAGTCTTAAAACATCAAATACACTGGAGAGAACAGCGCAATTCATAAATAGTCGACGCCAGCGAGTCATTGTTATAAGTATAAGGAATTAATCTGCACGGTTTCCAGTGAAACTTGGATTCCCTCAGGGCAGTGTCGCTGGCTGTGTGGTGTTCCTTGTGTATAGCAATGAATGTCCACTGCCATTGAATTATTCATCAAATTGTTTTCCGGCGATTCACGGATAACAATACTACACTTTAAGTTTGTACTTTTTAAAACGTGCATCGAGTAATAAGGAATCAGAAAGCATACGCCGTGAGGATGAAGATGGACACAGGTGAAAGACACACTATTGCATCGTCTGAAAATAGAACACACTGTCGCCTCTACTTATTTACATATAGGTGAGAGGCGAACTGCTTTACCACTGAGCCACCCAACTGCCCATGGTTGAAGTATTTGTCCGAAACGGTTGAATACCACCACAGACCAAGATATCCCCTAGATACCACAGAGAAATTGAATTAAGGAATTTCTTTTTATCAATGACTGTAGACCAGATAAGGACCGTGAACTTTGATATATCAAAAGTCACTTTGATATATCAAAGTCCGTGATAGAACACATTAGGGCATTATTTAGTTTATGTAACGTGCCGTATCTGTTAGTGTTAAAACCTCAATTTAAAAGGAGTTGTTCACATTTATGGAGCTCAGCAGTGGCCTATGAAAAACCCGTGGTTAACGGTAACATATAGTCGTTGTAAACATAACTTAAAATGAAGTCTTACACAATTCAGTTCTGACCTCCCGTTTCCCAAGTTCTTGAATCTTCGCACGAATGTCTCTACAAATACTTCACATAGTCTGATGAAGCAAAGTGGCCGAAGAATGGACATAAACTATGACTTCACAAATGAAAAAAATGACTTCACAATGGGTACACATGAAAATATGACGTTTGCAAAAACGTCACAAATCAACGTCATAATCTATGACGTCATCAATAATTCGGAATGCATTGACACATACGTCAAAATCCATAAAGTTGTTACTTTTAAACCCCATGCAACACCAAATAGCGTTTTAATTACAAACCCAAACTATTTACATGTAATGATAATCTAATGAAAACCACTTATTTCAGAAAAAAATACACAACATAATTTCCATCTATTTCTAGTCCGAAAGGTTCTGACTATCAGCGATTTCATTTTTGTCTTGGTCGCGGTCGTTGGCTTATTTATTTTAAACTTAAATGATTTCATTCACGTGTGTGTCTTTTATACAACCTTTAAAAATGTTGGGGTGTTATCTGCCGTTGGACTGAAACTACACCCGACAATTAATATCAGAATGATAGCATATATATGAGATAACCAAACAAAAATGATAAAATTCTTCACACTGTGTTCATATACATTAGTGTAAGATAATATATCTGAAGCAAATTTAGGATAAAAATTAAGAATTATTCTTCACGGCTGATGTCTTTTTCGCCCGTTAAAAATTTCCTGAAATACGCTGTATAAAGCTGGCTGATATCTATAACCACGGAGGCGTGTGACACTCAAATAGCATTTAATATTTTCTAGAGCTTGAAAATGCTTTATCTTACCGCCAAATGAAACATGTTCCCGTACCAGAATATGTTATGCGAGACTAATACCCTTCTATAACGCTGAATTATAGATATTACTTTTAGGTCTTATAAAAGAAAATGACAATAAATGAAAAAACAAACAAGCAAACAAAGAAAACATGAGCCCGTTATAGGGTTTATTAACGATTACTATACCTTGCCTGTAGCTCCGCTCTCGATACGAGAACGATACTCGAGGATGTAGTGATCGTAACCCCTGGAGTATCAAGGATGTAGTGATCGTAACCCCTGGTGTATTGAGGATGTAGTGATCGTAATCCCTGTTGTATTGAGGATGTAGCGATCGTAATCCCTGTTGTATTGAGGATGTAGTGATCGTAACCCCTGGTGTATGGAGGATGTAGTGATCGCAGCCCCTGGCGTACTGAGGATGTAGTGATCGCAGCCCCTGGAATGTAGTGATCGCAGCCCCTGGAATATTGAGGATGTAGTGACCGTAATCCCTGGAGTATTGAGAATGTAGTGATCGCAGCCCCTGGAGTATTGAGGATGTAGTGATCATAACCCTGGAGTGTCGAGGATGTAGTGATCGTAACCCCTGGTGTATTGAGGATGTAGTGATCGTAACCCCTGGTGTATCGAGGATGTAGTGATCGTAATCCCTGTTGTATTGAGGATGTAGCGATCGTAATCCCTGTTGTATGGAGGATGTAGTGATCGTAACCCCTGGTGTATGGAGGATGTAGTGATCGCAGCCCCTGGCGTACTGAGGATGTAGTGATCGCAGCCCCTGGCGTACTGAGGATGTAGTGATCGCAGCCCCTGGAATATTGAGGATGTAGTGACCGTAATCCCTGGAGTATTGAGAATGTAGTGATCGCAGCCCCTGGAGTATTGAGGATGTAGTGATCATAACCCTGGAGTGTCGAGGATGTAGTGATCGTAACCCCTGGTGTATTGAGGATGTAGTGATGGTAACCCCTGGTGTATCGAGGATGATCTATATAGGGCTACTGGTTAATTAGTTACTATTTCATTAAATCATTTGTTTAGATATATACTCGTATATCTGAATAACTCGACGGACCAGAAAGAAAAGAAGATGAAGACCCCCGGTGACTACGGTGACATAATTTGATTGAAGCACGGAGATCGACAAATGAAAAATTGTACAAAGGATACAAAAATACAGCACCTTTAGATAAAAATTTAGAATACGAAACAGTGGAGGCGAATGATGAATATCACACTACATCAAACAGCTGTTTCCTCCTAGAACTCATCAGTGACGCCGAGAGCCTAAATTGAAAGTCAAAATCCATCAAAATTAATCAGCTTGACGTAGAAGTGTACTAGCTCCGTTATTCAGAATCTCTGTTTTCATATACAAAAATACGAAAGAATTTCAAGTACGAGTGAATATTCTGAACCGTGTCACTGATAGGTATCTTAAATAACAAATGTTGTGGGCAAGCATTGTTTAATCACAGGACTAATCATAGAGTGCGTGCTAGCTCCTTACTTACATATAAATATTAAATATAGGGTTGATATAGAAAAAAACACACATCAGCTTGTTTTTAACAACTGACAAATTTTGGGGACTCATCTCCAAAAAAGGGGTGATTAAACAAACATTGTAAACAAAGGAGGAATGCCAATTTGGGCCTTCTGGTGGCCATGACGAATAGTTTTTATTTTTTGTCTATTAAAAACTTGAGGTCAGGCGGTAATGACATGACATTAATCTAAGGTCAGCTCAAGGCCGTTCAGTTGTTATAGGGGGACAAGGGGGGGAAATCAAATTCATAATTCAAATTCAAATAAATACGCCGCACGTGATAAACGTATTGTTTATAGATGCATTAAGACAAAAAACGGTGCTCAAGTGTGACTTAATTAGTAATTAGGACACCTAATTACTGTGACCTACTTTTCAACAATGGCATATTTTTTGTTTTTTGGTCATTTTTTCTAATGAAGGTTTTAAAATATATCATCAAATGACATTTAAGAAAAAAAAAACTAAAAAAAAAAATATTTTAGTTTGATAATTATTGTAATAATTATGAATTTGATCCCCCACTTGTCCCCCCTATAACAACTGAACGGCCTTGAGCTGACCTTAGATTAATGTCATGTCATTACCGTCTGACCTCAGGTTTTTTAATAGACAAAAAATAAAGTATTCGTCATGGCCACCAGAAGGCCCAAATTGGCACTTCTCCTTTAACTTTTCACACAGAATTTATTCATTCAGAAAAGTGTGCTTTGAAGTAAGAAATATTTGCGGTGACAAAAGCGTGTGGTAGGAGGCGTTTGATGTATTTTTTCTGTATTTGGAGATGTAACTTTTTCAATAGATCCAGTGAAACTGTTTCAGTTCAGGGACGATGTGTTGATGTTATTTAAATCGGTGTTTAGCTGGAGTTCCGATATTGATGCTGATCAGAAAAAAATAAGAATGTTCGTTTGGGTACGATTTTTTGTAATAATAAAAATGGTTTGTTAGGGACATATAGCGTCATTATATATATCGCACGTGGTATATCTCCTCAGTAAGGCCTACCCTGCTTAAAGTGTACCCTGAGAGGTCAGCTATGTTGACCTTGAAAAATAGTTCTGCACATAAAATACACTATGTCGAAAACTGTTCTCAATCATAAATACTGCATCATCATGTTAAGTCTATATTTAGAACATGGGAATTCCCCATGAACTAGCCCAGCATAGCAAAATGGACAATGATAAAGAATTCTGCATTGTGGAAAGAAAACCTCTACGATGTATGATCTTTTTTTTATGATTACATCAGATTTTTTTACTGATAATTTGTCGATATACTTGTAACATGTTAATGTATTGTATTGATGTGAAAGTAACACGCGGGGAATTTCCTTCTGACCTTTGAATCCAGGAAGGGAATATCGTGGGCAATAGAAGCTGTTTCGAGTGATAACTGGTAAGTAAGCTATTTACTGTCCTTTAACATATTATAAATATATTGTTTTATGATATCATGTTAAGTATGGCTTTCTAAACATCACGATTGATGATGTGAAATGATAACTAACATGGCGGACTCTCATCATCAGCCAGCAGACTGAGGGTTGTCTAAGATTTTTGGTCGATCAACATTGTATTGTGCTAACGACACACATATCACAGCCTTAACATTCCCGTATTTAATGTAAAAATAGAGTTAAATAAATAAACGACAGAAATGTTTTATTTGACAGATTTAAACTCGTATAATTTTAGGTAGGCTGACCTACCGTTATGATGTACACGCCCCATTGGCTGACGAGACTATAAGGAGGGGGACAGAGATGGTTCCAGATATTACATGTCTGACTTGATTGTATCTAACTCAAAGTTTGTAATAAAAGTCGCTGGTCAATTGTGTAGCTTTTGTACAATCATTGAATACACTAGCATATTTATACAAAACAGAATTATTGATATTTTAACGTAAAACCAGTGATGTTTGTTACAATCACTATACATGTATATACACCCCTAGTAAGATGCCTACGTGATCCCCACACAAGACTGCTTTTTTTTTTACTCCTGCAACATCTCGATATTCAAGGTCGTAGCGTATCTCTGTTATAAGGCCGTCCCGCATATCTATATAGAAGCTAATTCTAAAGTAATGTTGTTTCCAAAACATTTTTTGTCAAAAACACTCAAATCTAGCTCAATTCATGTGACGTTCTTATGGTAAATTAGATATGATTATCACCTGTTAGTCTACAGTATATTGATCAAATATGACTTTCACAATAGCTGGAGCTTTGACAATTAATTGTCATGTGAGAAAATAGATGTAATGCAATATGTCTCCATTCTGACATCAACCATTGATAAGAAATGACATCAGCATATCTTTATTAAGTGTATTTTCAAAGTTTTGTTTGTCAGCATGTGACATCTAAATATTGTAACTATATAGACATTTGTACATAAATAAATGTGGTTCACACCAAACACAACTTTGTTAAATTCAATTCTTTTAGAAGTTTTGATATACATATGTGTATATATGTATAAATAGAGTTATTGTAGACACCGACTCTCTTCTGGTACAATAAGTAAAATACTTGTAGGTCCTGAAATTAAATCAATTTAGAATCGGAAATAATATAGGCAAGTAATGAAATGAAGTATTTTACAAAATTCCAAACTTTTTCTTTAACCAATCGTAGCCCAATTCCATCTAACTCAACTTAATTTTATTTCAAGTGAAAATATATTACATTGAAATAATTACTGAAATATTCTACAAACTATAGAGGATTTAGGTCATACAGCCAACAGCATTTGTATTAGATTGGGGTGGTAGGTTCCTATACACAGTTTCATGTAAAATACAACTCCTGATCTAGCTATATTGTTTCTGATTTTAGATTAAATTTACATATCTTTCATATTGAAGTTGATAACTGGAGATGTCACATGGCTGACAGGTAGAATCCTTTGGGATTAAGTTTTTAGGTCACTGATAATCACAGGTCACTTGTAAACCTATATTTAGGACAAGGAAGATCTAGATTTAAAACCAGATACCTGCAATAAACGACCTGTTTTGACCCTAACTGATTCATATTTGTAGTGAACACTGTTCTAAAAACGAATACTATAAGTATTTATTTACATACAAACACAAAAACTCAATTATAAATTTAATGTTAAAATAGAGTGTATTAAATAAACATGGGAAGTTTTAAATCAACCAAAATTAAAAAAAAAAAAATTTGCATCATGCCAATGAAAAGTGTTTCCCTTCATGTAAAGATGAACCTTGATAACATTTTAGTGAAATTAATTAAAGGTCAGTTATAGGGGTATAAAGGTCAGTTATAGGGGTATAAAGGTCAGTTATAAGGTATAAAGGCCAGTTATAGGGTATAAAGGCCAGTTATATGGTATAAAGGTCAGTTATAGGGTATAAAGGTCAGTTATAGGGGTATAAAGGTCAGTTATAGGGGTATAAAGGTCAGCTATAGGGGTATAAAGGTCAGTTATAGGGTATAAAGGTCAGTTATAGGGTATAAAGGCCAGTTATAGGGTATAAAGGCCAGTTATAGGGTATAAAGGTGAGTTATAGGGTATATAGGTCAGTTATAGGGTATAAAGGTCAGTTATAGGGTATAAAGGCCAGTTATAGGGTATAAAGGCCAGTTATAGGGTATATAGGTCAGTTATAGGGTATAAAGGTCAGTTATAGGGGTATAAAGGTCAGTTATAGGGGTATAAAGGTTATTTTCCTCCATTAATAATCCTTGTTTCAACAAATTAGGCTTTTTAGTGTCACTGAAGAGTCCTTAATCTGTTTGTGACGAGTACACCTTAATCTGTTTGTGATGTGTAGACCTTAATCTGTTTTTGATGTGTAGACGTTAATCTGTTTGTGATGAATAGACCTTAATCTGTTTGTCAGTAGACCTTAATCTGCTTGTCAGTAGGCCTTAAATCTGTTTGTCAGTAGACCTTAATCTGTTTGTGATGAGTAGACCTTAATCTGTTTGTGATGAGTAGACCTTAATCTGTTTGTCAGTAGACCTTAATCTGTTTGTCAGTAGACCTTAATCTGTTTGTGATGAATAGACCTTAATCTGTTTGTGACGAGTAGACCTTAATCTGTTTGTCAGTAGACCTTAATCTGTTTGTGACGAGTAGACCTTAATCTGTTTGTCAGTAGACCTTAATCTGTTTGTGATGAGTAGACCTTAATCTGTTTGTGATGAGTAGACCTTAATCTGTTTGTGATGAGTAGACCTTAATCTGTTTGTCAGTAGACCTTAATCTGTTTGTCAGTAGACCTTAATCTGTTTGTGATGTGTAGACCTTAATCTGTTTATGACGAGTAGACCTTAATCTGTTTGTCAGTAGACCTTAATCTGTTTGTGATGTGTAGACCTTAATCTGTTTATGACGAGTAGACCTTAATCTGTTTGTCAGTAGACCTTAATCTGTTTGTCAGTAGACCTTAATCTGTTTGTGATGAGTAAACCTTAATCTGTTTGTGATGAGTAGACCTTAATCTGTTTGGCAGTAGACCTTAATCTGTTTGTGATGAATAGACATTAATCTGTTTGTGATGAGACCTTAATCTGTTTGTGATGAGTAGACCTTAATCTGTTTGTCAGTAGACCTTAATCTGTTTGTGATGTGTAGACCTTAATCTGTTTATGATGAGTAGACCTTAATCTGTTTGTCAGTAGACCTTAATCTGTTTGTCAGTAGACCTTAATCTGTTTGTCAGTAGACCTTAATCTGTTTGTGATGTGTAGACCTTAATCTGTTTCTGATGAGTAGACCTTAATTTGTTTGTCAGTAGACCTTAATCTGTTTGTCAGTAGACCTTAATCTGTTTGTCAGTAGACCTAAATCTGTTTGTCAGTAGACCTTAATCTGTTTCTGATGAGTAGACCGTAATCTGTTTGTCAGTAGACCTTAATCTGTTTATGACGAGTAGACCTTAATCTGTTTGTCAGTAGACCTTAATCTGTTTGTCAGTAGACCTTAATCTGTTTGTCAGTAGACCTTAATCTGTTTGTCAGTAGACCTTAATCTGTTTGTGATGAGTAGACCTTAATCTGTTTGTCAGTAGACCTTAATCTGTTTTTGATGTGTAGACCTTAATCTGTTTGTGATGAGTAGACCTTAATCTGTTTGTGATGTGTAGACCTTAATCTGTTTGTGATGAGTAGACCTTAATCTGTTTGTCAGTAGACCTTACTCTGTTTGTGATGAATAGACCTTAATCTGTTTGTGATGTGTAGACCTTAATCTGTTTTTGATGAGTAGACCTTAATCTGTTTGTCAGTAGACCTTAATCTGTTTGTGATGTGTAGACCTTAATCTGTTTGTGATGAGTAGACCTTAATCTGTTTGTCAGTAGACCTTAATCTGTTTGTCAGTAGACCTTAATCTGTTTGTAATGTGTAGACCTTAATCTGTTTGTCAGTAGACCTTAATCTGTTTGTGATGAGTAGACCTTAATCTGTTTGTGATGTGTAGACCTTAATCTGTTTATGATGTGTAGACCTTAATCTGTTTATGATGTGTAGACATTAATCTGTTTGTCAGTAGACCTTAATCTGTTTGTCAGTAGACCTTAATCTGTTTATGATGTGTAGACCTTAATCTGTTTGTCAGTAGACCTTAATCTGTTTATGATGTGTAGACCTTAATCTGTTTGTGATGTGTAGACCTTAATCTGTTTATGATGTGTAGACCTTAATCTGTTTGTGATGTGTAGACCTTAATCTGTTTGTGATGTGTAGACCTTAATCTGTTTATGATGTGTAGACATTAATCTGTTTGTCAGTAGACCTTAATCTGTTTGTCAGTAGACCTTAATCTGTTTATGATGTGTAGACCTTAATCTGTTTGTGATGTGTAGACCTTAATCTGTTTATGATGTGTAGACCTTAATCTGTTTGTGAGTAGACCTTAATCTGTTTATGACGAGTAGACCTTAATCTGTTTGTGATGTGTAGACCTTAATCTGTTTGTGATGTGTAGACCTGACCTTAATCTGTTTGTGATGTGTAGACCTTAATCAGTTTGTCAGTAGACCTTAATCTGTTTATGATGTGTAGACCCTAATCTGTTTGTCAGTAGACCTTAATCTGTTTGTGATGAGTAGACCTTAATCTGTTTGTGATGAGTAGACCTTAATCTGTTTGTGATGTGTAGACCTTAATCAGTTTGTCAGTAGACCTTAATCTGTTTATGATGTGTAGACCTTAATCTGTTTGTGATGTGTAGACCTTAATCTGTTTGTGATGTGTAGACCTTAATCAGTTTTTCAGTAGACCTTAATCTGTTTGTGATGTGTAGACCTTAATCAGTTTGTCAGTAGACCTTAATCTGTTTATGATGTGTAGACCTTAATCTGTTTGTGAGTAGACCTTAATCTGTTTTTGACGAGTAGACCTTAATCTGTTTTTCAGTAGACCTTAATCTGTTTATGATGAGTAGACCTTAATCTGTTCATCAGTGTAGACCTTAATCTGTTTGTGATGTGTAGACCTTAATCTGTTTATGATGTGTAGACCTTAATCTGTTTTTACCCTAATCTTTTTGTCAGTAGACCTTAATCTGTTTATGATGAGTAGACCTTAATCTGTTTGTCAGTAGTTAATCTGTTTATGATGTGTAGACCTTAATCTGTTTATGATGTGTAGACCTTAATCTGTTTGTGATGTGTAGACCTTAATCTGTTTATGATGTGTAGACCTTAATCTGTTTATGATGTGTAGACCTTAATCTGTTTATGATGTGTAGACCTTAATCTGTTTATGATGTGTAGACCTCAATTGGTCTGAAGGATCTATTGATGAATAAAATGGTTTATTTTAACATTTGTATTGAGACAGAGACAGCTTTCCCGTCAGGAATGTGTGGTTTTGTTTAGTATAATCATTGTTCAGTTTTAATTTTGTGTTAATATGTCAGTTGTTTGTAAATTTTGTTTAAATGTGCCTCTATCTTTATTGTTTCTTGTCTGATATTTCTTGGCGAGGAGAGTATACATATAGTAGATATAGTCCATGATTTATTTAAAAATTTAGTGTACGAGTGTCCTGGACGATATCTCAGTCCTGATATTACTCTGTCCATAACTACAGAACCTCACCATGGACTGCATAAAAACTTGAATATGACTTTGATTATTGGTGGTTATTTTGTCTGGTAAATCAATTCAAAACGTTCTTACTCTGAACCTTACAGCTCATTAATTCAAACAAATATAAAAAAAGAAGGAAAAAAAGGTACATTTAAACATGAATTTAACGCAGATATTCTGATAATACAAATTTTGGTCCATGTCAATGTTTTGTTAGTTTTCAGCTTATTATATTTCCAAGCTGAAAACTTTCCACATCATATTGTCGTAATCTTCTGGTATGTTTTCAATGCCTCAGTGTAAATATATCCTGTTCTTAATATTTTAATGTTGATCTTCGATTATAATTATATGATGCTTTCATGTTGTATACATTTTGTCAGTGGAGGAAAAATATGGGGAAGCCTTGCATTCATCACAGTGATCTCCTTGAGAATTATTCTAGTTGAATTCGGACGTGTTTGGTGCTGTTTAGTTTGTCTAACTTGATATTGCACAAGGAAATAGAATACTTTCAAACAAGATCATATCAACTGTAAAATTTTCGCACGATCCTCATAAACCTGCATCTCCCAAAAACCCCGATGTGAGTTTGTCATCAAATTGATTGGTATCTATGGTGTAATACTATATAGATGTATGTGATAGTAAGTGAATCTGTATGTGATATTAAGAGGATCTGTATTTATATTAAGTGGATCTGTATGTGATATTAAGAGGATCTGTATGTGATATTAAGAGGATCTGTATTTATATTAAGTGGATCTGTATGTGATATTAAGAGGATCTGTATTGATATTAAGAGGATCTGTATGTGATATTAAGTGATCTGTATGTAATATTAAGAGGATCTGTATGTGATATTAAGAGGATCTGTATGTGATATTAAGTGATCTGTATGTGATATCAAGAGGATCTGTATGTGATATTAAGAGGATCTGTATGTGATATTAAGTGGATCTGTATGTGATATTAAGAGGATCTGTATTTATATTAAGTGATCTGTATGTGATATTAAGAGGATCTGTATTTATATTAAGTCTATCTGTATGTGATATTAAGTGGATCTGTATTGACAAACTCATTACAAACAGATTAAGGTCTACTCATTACAAACAGATTAAGGTCTACTCATTACAGGCAGATTAAGGTCTACACATCATAAACAGATTAAGGTCTACACATCACAAACAGATTAAGGTCTACATCTACACATCATAAACAGATTAAGGTCTACACATCACAAACAGATTAAGGTCTACTGACAAACAGATTAAGGTCTTCACATCAAAACCAGATTAAGGTCTACACATCACTATCAGATTAATGTCTACACATCATAAACAGATTAAGGTCTACTGACAAACAGATTAATGTCTACTCATCATCAATAGATTAAGGTCTACTCATCATCAATAGATTAATGTCTACACATCATAAACAGATTAAGGTATACACATCATAAACAGATTAAGGTCTACACATCATAAACAGATTAAGGTCTACTGACAAACAGATTAAGGTCAACTGACAAACAGATTAAGGTCTACTGACAAACTGATTAAGGTCAGCTCATCACAAACAGATTAAGGTCTACTCATCATAAACAGATTAAGGTCTATCTGTATTTGATATTAAGAGGATCTGTATTTGATATTAAGTGGATTTGTATGTGATATTAAGTTATCTGTATGTGATATTAAGTGGATCTGTACGTGATATTAAGTGATCTGTATGTGATATTAAGAGGATCTGTATGTGATATTAAGTGATCTGTATGTGATATTAAGTGATCTGTATGTAATATTAAGTGAATCTGTATGTGATATTAAGTGGATCTGTATGTGATATTAAGTGATCTGTATGTGATATTAAGAGGATCTGTATGTGATATTAAGTGAATCTGTATGTGATATTAAGTGATCTGTATGTGATATTAAGAGGATCTGTATGTGATATTAAGTGGATCTGTATGTAATATTAACGTGGATCTGTATGTGATATTAAGTGGATCTGTATGTGATATTAAGGGAATCTTTTTGCCTTTCAGAGCACTGACCTGTAATGGCAGTAGGAGGACATGACCCTAACCTCCATAGAGATCTGTGTGAGGAGGCGAAGGAGTGCCTTACATGTCGAGTTTGTCAAGACACACTGAAGGATCCACGTATCCTGGAATGTGGCCACACGTTTTGTTTGGTGTGTATCCAAACTGTCTACTTACGCTATCCTGAGGGTATTAACTCTGCTCTTTGTCCATTATGTAAAACACGATTTTTTCCTAAAGGGCAAAATGCGGGAAATTTTCCGAAAAATTATGTTGTGATGGACTGTTTGTCAATGTTAGAAAAGCATGATCAACCAGATGGAGAGGACCCTGAAGGAGAAAGTTGTGAAATTTGTGACGAAACCGAAACTGTCCCAGCAACAAACTACTGTGTGGAGTGTTCTAGGTATTTGTGTCTGAAATGTGACAAGAAACACCAGAAGCTGCATGCTATGCACCATTCCATGAATCTTGAAGACATCAGGGATACCCAAGTATATGATTTACTACGAAGTCACAAAGAGGATGATGATTGTCCAGACCATCCCGGTTCTAAAATGACACGGTTTTGTGTGCCATGTAAAAAGCCAGTATGTGAACAGTGCTGCCAAGTTTCGACCCATCAACATCATCGCACTTCGCCCGTTAGCTCTACTGTTGAAACTGTACAGAGAGATCTGTCACGGTTGATAAGTGATATTGAAAAAAATTTCAAAGAACTTGAGAAGTGCCGAGCATATTGGACCCACCTTCACGGAAAACTGGAAGGCACACATCAGAGCATGCGAGAAAAAGCAATTTCGCGTACAAGAGAACTCCATGACATGATCAACAATAAAAGAGATAAGACTTTAAATGAGATAGAAATGCATTACACAGAGAAAAATTCTGAAATGAGACAGCAGTTGAATCAACTTGAAGCTGATCTTGGAACTTTCAGGAATCTTTTAGAAAAAGCACGGGCTGTTCAAACTGTTGGATCTGCTTGTCAGAAGCTGAAAGAGGTGAAATCTATTCAGGAACAGCTAAAACAAAGCCGTCCAGTTATCTGCTGGCCGGCCACCTTCTACAAACACAGTATTCAGTTTTCCCCATTTCAATACAAGAAGCTGACTGATAGGGACGGCATTGGTCATGTGACTGGCAAACATGATTACTTCCTGTTTCATCACTACTGGACACTGAAGAAAATAACAACTGAAGATATTATTGTCTCTCCGGTGTGATGACGTCATCAACATAACACTGCTATGATAACATCAAATGTGTTAGGACATTACAAACATGATGACGTCACATGTGGTAGGACATTACAAACATGATGACGTCACATGTGTTAGGACATTACAAACATGATGACGTCACATGTGATAGGACATTACAAACATGATGACGTCACTGCTGCTATGACAATTGATAACATCACTGTTATGATAATTTACCTGTCACAGGCACCTGTACTTGGAATGTAAAAACAAAAATCCAGTCCACTGTACATTTGTATGGTAGATTTTGCTTCAGTTTTTCGTTCCAGATACAGATGCCTGTGTTAAGAAATCACAAATATGATGACGTCATGAATACATTCATAGTTGAGCGGAACCCACTGTTAGCTTTGAGGTATGATGATGGCATCATGTCATCTCCCAATCTACTGGATTTACTTTTCACAAACTAATGCATATAGGATATTTAATAGTGTCTTCAGTAATAACAAATATTCGCACTCGTGAAAGATACCAAAATATTAGCCACACAAGTGAATTATATTTGTTATTACTCAAGACACTATTAAATATTCTGTTTATTACATTTTCATCGCAAAAATAAACCAAAACAATGGCAAACTTACGATAACTATAAAATGGGTAAGTTGACCATGCTTTTTCCAGACACTACTCACTCATTATACAACGATGTTGTGCGCTGGAAAAATAGTCCATTTCATGAAAAATCAGTAAAAATATACAGACTCATAAATAAGTCATAATGAATGTTTATTTGTGTCTGGACATGGATTTTGTAGTTTATTGATGTCACTTATACACAATAAAATGGTTTAAACGTTAACTGAAAAAAAACCCCAATGTTTGATAAATTCTTCGGTGCATGAAAAAGTATGGCGCCATCCTAGTCGCTGTCACTATCAATGACACAGATTCTTTTAAAATGCCTTGGTCCACACTCAAGACTCTCAGAACCGGGATGGGTTTGACCACTGATAACATAGTTAGAGCTACTGGCTTGCATTGTCTGCTGCCTGAAAATGGAAATTTAAGGTGGGGTTGAAGGTTGTGTTCCCAGTGAACAAACCCCCGACAGCATCGGGCTCTCTGATTGGTCAATCCTCACTAGTGAAAAATATCACTGTTATCAGTTTGGGATATCCCTATATTTCACTGCTAAAATGTAATAAATTGTTATCATTGTACATATGTGGCTGTTAAAGAGATAGGCCACATGCAGTTAACATCAGTAAATCTCGAAAGTATGGATTCCACCAAAGACTTATCGTCATCATCATTTATCATCGTCATCATCATCATCGTCATCGTCATCATCATCGTCATCATCATTTATCATCGTCATCGTCATCATCATCATCATCACCATATTGGATTACCTCCCTTTACATAGTTATATTTAGAGTCGTAGGTCATATATGATAGATTGAAGATAAAAAAAAAAAACAAAAAAAAAGAAATAAATTATACCCGAGTGCGCACTATAAATGCAAATTTACGGAACATGATTTTAACCTGAAGAGACATGCATGACATCTACATGTAATGTTACGCGATATATATACTGGTGTAGCATAGTATTGGGAAACATGGGGAAATGAACTGGGGTCAAAGTACCATAATGGTGAAGTGAACTTTGCAAATAACAAAAATTTCAATTTTAATTTTTTTTTCTGTTTATCAACTTTATAAAAAAAAACCATAACTAGAAGAAAGCTGCTCTCATTTACATAATAAATATTTGACTTGGGATTTTTTGTGATGTCATATTTTCATTATTAAACATATTTTCATTTATTTTTAAATGAGTCCTATAGATCCTGTTTCTATACAATGCAATGGTGTAATGATGAACATTAATGGTCTATATATATAAAAACATATAGAAGGGTGTAAATACAGTTATTTGGTTTTATCAAAACACTTTCATTTCGAAAAGTACTGAAATGTGATCACGTGTAATTTCTAAAATACATGTTGATTTCCTAGAATTTGTATCAGCATTAATGTTGTCAATATTTGTTTGTTTCTGTTTAATAATGTTTATCATAATATTATGTTGGCCCACATCACTGAGTTAATATAAGGTTTTATAACAGACAGTTTCAGTAAATATAATGGTACATACAGTGTCGCTAACGACTGCGATCCCATCATACTTAGCATCACAATGGGTACTTACCCTTTGTTATGTTTAATAATATATAATTATATATCGTTGACACCAATTTAGCGTATCCATGTCGAGCCTCAGACTACCCGACTCCCGACTAATTACGGGGCTTCTGTCATTACCGGTGGACGTTTCCGGTTCGGCAAAGATTACTTGGTCAAATTTCAAAATTACTTTAGTAAGTAGTTCATATTTCGTTGTGTTTTTAAATTCGTGGATTTGCTCATCCACGAAAACAACGAAAATTGGACCCCCACGAAATAAAATGAATCCACAGTAGTACAAATAGGTTGTAGTCTGGTGTAGTCTGTTTCACTGTCAAGAACTAAAGTAATCAATTTTTGTTAACACGGGTAAAATAATTACGTATTAATAGATGAGAAGATGTATGCGTAAAAAAGTGCTGTTAATGTATTATTACTTATAACTGATGTCAGAGATATGTGGACATGCCGCTGGAATATTTGTAGGAAAAGTGCCAAACTAAACATCCACCAAAATTTAATTATCTCCTTTTACATATCATCATCCATTTATATCTTTATTTCAAAGTGATCCAACCAGCCCAGCCTGATCAAACTTTCCAGTTTCAATTTCTGCATGCTTATCCAAAGTTTGAAATAAAGGGCTGAGTTTTTCTTCACAATTTCAGAATCCCAGAGAAAAGTAGAGAGAAAATTTTGCAAGACTGTAAGAACTTGGGTATCATCTATTTGTCCCATTTTGACTGTAAATTTGATAACAGAATTAAATTCAAAGGAATATATATATTTCTACATCATTTTCATGAAATGTTTTCTGTGGGTAGGTCCATATGAATAGATGGTCCTATAACAAAACCAATAAGATATTTGTGACGTTTTGACAAACAATGAATGTTGACATGTAAGGAACTTTTTGTCTATATTTTACGGTATATTACCGTAATCATTATACTCTGTTTTTGCCAATACTCATCACTTTTGAGAATTACGTGTTATTTGATATGGCAATGCTTATTTTAATTACTGGTAATTTTTTCAAAAGCAGCTTTTTCAAAATTAGATTAAAAAAAAAATGGTTAATTTAGATACCCTAATTTTTTTCTTTCTTATCTTTGCGATAGGAGATTTGATTTCAGTAATTATCTTAATATTGTTTTTTCTTTTACAAGTTTGAAATGTTGTTAAGAAACATTAATTCTCAATTATCAACATATTTACATCTGTTTGAATTGTTATGAAATTGTAAATAAAGAAATGAATACAGGGATCCTAATTTTACTATTTCTCACTTTCCTTTCCCCGACAGAATCTGAAGCGCCTCCTCAGACTACAAATAATCATGATTAAAATAGAAACCGTCTTTATAACAGACAATGAACTACAGCATGTGTGCTCTTTCTTTACTCCCGTCAGTATCGTGTATCAGTGGCTGTGACTTATAATTGTAAGTCATCGCTGAACTATTGTGCTTTACAGTATAGTTGTCTACGCTGGAAGCTGCCGTAACCTAATTTTCCTTTGCTTCTTTCTTTAAGAAAGACAAGGATACGTACAGGAGCTTCTGTTTTTTTGAGAAGTCAAGGTGTTGCAGGTCACTGTTTCTTTCTCTACCTTGGCGTTTCCTTCTCTCTTTACCTTGGCGTTTCCTTCTCTCTTTATCTTGGCGATTCCTTCTCTCTTTACCTTGCTGTTTCCTTCTCTCTTTACCTTGGCGATTCCTTCTCTCTTTACCTTGGCGTTTCCTTCTCTCTTTATCTTGGTGTTTCCTTCTCTCTTTATCTTGGTGTTTCCTTCTCTCTTTACCTTGCTGTTTCCTTCTCTCTTTACCTTGGCGTTTCCTTCTCTCTTTACCTTGGTGTTTCCTTCTCTCTTTACCTTGGTGTTTTCTTCTCTCTTTACCTCGGTGTTTCCTTCTCTCTTTACCTTGCTGTTTCCTTCTCTCTTTACCTTGCTGTTTCCTTCTCTCTTTACCTTGCTGTTTCCTTCTCTCTTTACCTTGCTGTTTCCTTCTCTCTTTACCTTGGCGTTTCCTTCTCTCTTTGTCTTGGCGTTACCTTCTCTCTTTACCTTGGCGTTTCCTTCTCTCTTTACCTTGCTGTTTCCTTCTCTCTTTACCTTTGCGTTTTCTTCTCTCTTTACCTTGGCGTTACCTTCTCTCTTTACCTTGGCGTTTCCTTCTCTCTTTATCTTGGCGTTTCCTTCTCTCTTTGTCTTGGCGTTACCTTCTCTCTTTACCTTGGCGTTTTCTTCTCTCTTTACCTTGCTGTTTCCTTCTCTCTTTACCTTGCTGTTTCCTTCTCTCTTTACCTTGCTGTTTCCTTCTCTCTTTACCTTGCTGTTTCCTTCTCTCTTTACCTTGGCGTTTCCTTCTCTCTTTACCTTGGCGTTTCCTTCTCTCTTTGCCTTGGCGTTACCTTCTCTCTTTACCTTGGCGTTTTCTTCTCTCTTTACCTTGCTGTTTCCTTCTCTCTTTACCTTGCTGTTTCCTTCTCTCTTTACCTTGGCGTTTCCTTCTCTCTTTACCTTGGTGTTTCCTTCTCTCTTTGTCTTGGCGTTACCTTCTCTCTTTACCTTGGCGTTTTCTTCTCTCTTTACCTTGCTGTTTCCTTCTCTCTTTACCTTGGCGTTTCCTTCTCTCTTTACCTTGGCGTTTCCTTCTCTCTTTACCTTGCTGTTTCCTTCTCTCTTTACCTTGCTGTTTCCTTCTCTCTTTACCTTGGCGTTTCCTTCTCTCTTTACCTTGCTGTTTCCATCTCTCTTTACCTTGCTGTTTCCTTCTCTCTTTACCTTGGCGTTTCCTTCTCTCTTTACCTTGGCGTTTCCTTCTCTCTTTACCTTGGCGTTTCCTTCTCTCTTTACCTTGCTGTGTCCTTCTCTCTTTACCTTGGCGTTTCCTTCTCTCTTTACCTTGCTGTTTCCTTCTCTCTTTACCTTGGTGTTTCCTTCTCTCTTTACCTTGGTTTTTTTCCTGGTTTTATCATATGAATAAACAAATATTAAATTGATCTATTTTACAATAATTGTGAAACAAGCTTTAAGCTTATTGTAATCCCTCTTGTTGGCTTTGATTAAAATTTTTCCCTCTTTTTGACCCGGATTGAAATTTTTCCCTCTTGTTGGCTTGGATTAAAATTTTTGCCTCTTTTTGACCTGGATTGAAATTTTTCCCTCTTGTTGACCCAGATTGAAATGCTGGAGGGGTCTTTGTTTGGGAAGAAACTGAAGTTGCAGGAGAAAATGCAGGTGTTTGATAAGGTGACACCATACATGTACCTTTCCACACGTTTCTGCAATCAAACCCCAGATGTCTAGGTTAAGGGTTGCTATTGTGCCACCTAACCACCACACTTTTATAAATATTGTCTGAAAGAGCAGTTTATGTTCTTTATATTAATTTCTTTTAAAATCAAACATGAATAACAAAAGTCAGCCATTAGGTATTTATCTTTATTTATTTATGTAACAGAGTTTTATTAATTACTCTTTGTGTCCATTCTGCTTAATTCAAAACTTCCATCAAAATAAGTAAAAATTACACAACTAATTAAACTTTTTATTCTCTAATTGTTTCTGAAATAAAATCAGTATGGCGTAATTTTATTCCTTTACGCTAAAATATGCTCTTTTCATTGGAATTTATTTTAATATAAGATATAGTACATCTATTGAGATGTTCACAGATTATGATGTAAATAAGGCATAGACGGGCACAGAAACAGATAAAAAATTTTCTTTTTAAATTTGTAAATTTTCATATCAATTATCATACTGATCAATCTTCTGTCCCTCTTACTGAAATAATTGTAGTAATTATACATACAGGTCAATAAAAACATTGATGCAAATAAAAAATAAATCTTGGAATAGTTAACACACACAACTAACAGTTGTCCCTTCTACAGTATATAAGAACAAAAGGCATGATTGTCAATGAAGCAAAACGTTGACTGATTTCTTACAATAAAATAAGGTTTTGTCTTTCGTTAAATCTCCTGCAATATCTACTGTTGTGTTAGTGGTCTGTTATGGTGAATCATTGATCAAATGAGATATTCAGTAAACACAATGACCATTCAGTGAAAGCCTTTTTAAAAAAAATTGAAAATTCATGAAGAAAACAAAACAAACAGTAGTTATGTAATTATCTGTTTCCGTCCAATCTACAACAGCCATAAATGATTCTATCACATTTTATTGTAGACATGAACCAGTTATCTTATCCATAGTAAACTTGTTGTCAGATACCGTTCAGCCCAAGCCGGGTGTCATCAGTCTCCTCATACTCAATGTGTTAACTGTCATTAACCGTTAATTATACAATCAGCCAAGCCTTTCATGCTTGTTAGGTCACCTGGGTAAATTTGTTTACTTAAGGTAATTACATGTGTTAGGGTCACGCTCATTGTGGTTTCCTAATTATCAATGGATCAGACCATATCAAATGTTTCATCGCAGTGACCAGTCAATTCATTTTTCTGTAGATTTTTTTTTTTTTAAATCTGATCTCCAAAAAGTACCTGCGCACTATACACGAGTGCGCATTATACGCGAATATTTACGGTACTATGTTATATACAGACACCACCGAGATTTGCTTGGTTAAGGTCACAGTCTTCAGGTTACAGTTTCTGATTGTTATGTACTATATTGCCTTGATTCTGTTATCAAGCCATCCACTGATGATACTCAAGTTCTCTCTCATCCAGCGTATATTGGTTTCCGTGTTCTCTAGAGCCTGAGTAAAAGCTTGTTCACCGGAGCTCAAGTCGTCATGATCCTTCCGGAACTGTAGTAACTATAATAAAAACAACAAAGAACCATTAGAATTATCATCTAAACACAATGTACAAAAAGTACAAGAATGATAAGACCAGGTGTTCAGGAAGTGTAAGCATACTTTGCTTCATTGACAACACCCACCATGTAGATCTTGGTCAATCTAATGTTGCGTTTCCCAAATGTGTACAAGGTTTATAACAATCGAACCAACAGGCAAACCATTCTTGATACACCAGGGGTTACAATTACTTTTGCTCTCTGCATCCCTGGAGCATTTTACAGAAAAAATTGAAGTAACTTAATTGGTCAAAGGAGCAACACCCAACTTCAAAGTCGGTATAAAGTACTGTTATGTGACCTTGAGATTTGTTTTATGTACATCAAAGGATCAAGCTAGCCTTGTCTAAATGGTGTCACACATGGAACCTTCAATCTTACCATGAAGTGTTCCAAGGGTGTAGGGAGTGATATTCAGTGTAACCCCTGGAGTATCGAAGATGCATGCAAACTAATTATTATCATACACGTCCAGCTTTATATCGCACAAAATGAAATGGCACAACATTTCTTGATAAGATCGCTATGACAACCGTAAAACTTCTCCGTAATCTCATTAGAATTACTTTTAAAACATCATGTGACAATTTACATTAATGGGTTTCACTGTAGAAGCTATCATGGTATTATTACCAAACTGTTTCCAATCAATTAAATTTTAACCTCGTTAATATATTAACTAGTATCATACAAAACAAGGAGACATTCAGAAAACCAGGTTACCTGATCCATGTTATATTCAGTGTTAAATGTGACTGATATCGCCTTGATGATACCGGCAAAAGAAAATTGTCCTTGTCCAAATCTGAAACAAGACATGAAATAGATCAGTGACCTTTGAACCCGTTTACTCTCTAACTGTTGATGTTACGCTTGGAAAACTACATACTCTTTTCACAAACAGGTCAGGGGTCAATTCTCTTTAGTATTTTCAGTGAATAATAAAGAAACTGTAAAAGATCTCTGAAATTTAAAGATAATATCGACAAAACAATACAGATACAATAAGGGTGATGCACAGACCAGGTGTCCTGGAAGGGTATGCATTTTCTGCTTCATCAGCAACAAGCACTATGTAAATCATAATGAGAATTAAGTACATAACAATTGCACCTGCATCAGGCAAACTAATGAGCATTAAACATGTCTAACTTCATATCACAAATTCAACCCCTATCACCTTGGATGAGGGTCAAGGTATTTAAAAAAAAAAAAAAAAAAACATGTCCGACTTCAACTTAGGAACCTGTAGGACGAATAACAAGCTTCTGCATCTTTCGGTTAGTCAGAAGAAGTCGTTTAAAGGTTTTAACAAATTTAACCCCTATGACCTTGAATAAGAGTAAAGAGGATTTATTTTCGTAAATTTTGTTGGGATTCATGTCAGTAAACCACCAGGCAATTACTATGACATTTAAATTGTCAGTCATTGAGAAGTATGGGCCTGGTGAGCTAAAAACAACAACCAGAACACGGATATGTCAACAAAGTTTAAACTCAAACTCAAATTCAATCAAACCAGGATAAATATGAATATAAATTTACAAGGAGACTCCCGAACAAGTACAACGAGAATAGCACATGGAATAGTAAGTGCCTTCTGCTTCAACTACGACATCTGCCATGTAAACCTTGCTTAATCAAAGTAAGTAATGTCACGTTCTCAAAATAAGAACAAGGTTAACAACAAGAAAACAACCAGGCAAATTAACAAACATTAAATATGCCTAATTTGAGTTTAACCCCCTACCTACTGACAACTACCCTAACAGTCTTTGTCAGAGTTAAACCCCCTACCTACTGACAACTACCCTAACAGTCTTTGTCAGAGTTTAACCTCCTACCTAATGACAACTACCCTAACAGCTTTGTCAGAGTTAAACCCCTAATTTGCTGTCAAACTGAACACAAAATTTGTTTGATGTATACTTACTCCTGAATCAGATAGTCCCATTTATCACTGACAAAGTTCCAGGCAAGGTCCCGACCAGCGGATTGTTCAGCAACATATGATATCACATATACTATGTCCTGTCCCCGGATCTCCTTAGGGTCCAAACTGAGGGAAAGATACCTTAAAAAAAAAACATCAGCAGCAATTCATAAACCCTGTCCAGAACATACACTCTCTGTGTCCAATATCTGGTACATAGATCATAAGCACCCTTAAAGTGGCTAACAAATCACTCCCTTAGAGTGACCTATAAATTACACACTTAGAGTGACCTATAAATCACTCCCTTAGAGTGACCTATAAATTACACACTTAGAGTGACCTATAAATCACTCCCTTAGAGTGACCTATAAATTACAACCTTAGAGTGACCTATAAATCACTCCCTTAGAGTGACCTATAAATTATACACTTAGAGTGACCTATAAATCACTCCCTTAGAGTGACCTATAAATCACTCCCTTAGAGTGACCTATAAATCACTCCCTTAGAGTGACCTATAAATCACTCCCTTAGAGTGACCTATAAATCACTCCCTTAGAGTGACCTATAAATTACACCCTTAGAGTGACCTATAAATTACACACTTAGAGTGACCTATAAATTACAACCTTAGGGTGACATATTAATTACACCCTTAGAGTGACCTATATATTACAACCTTAGAGTGGCCTATAGATTACAAACTTAGAGTGACCTATAAATTACACCCTTAGAGTGACCTATAAATCACTCCCTTAGAGTGACCTATAAATCACACCCTTAGAGTGACCTATAAATTACACACTTAGAGTGACCTATAAATTACACCCTTAGAGTGACCTATAAATTACACACTTAGAGTGACCTATAAATTACACACTTAGAGTGACCTATAAATTACACCCTTAGAGTGGCCTATAAATTACACCCTTAGAGTGACCTATAAATTACACCCTTAGAGTGACCTATAAATTACACCCTTAGAGTGACCTGTAGATTACAACCTTAGAGTGACCTATAAATTACACCCTTAGAGTGACCTATAGATTACAACCTTAGAGTGACCTATAAATTACACCCTTAGAGTGACCTATCAATTACACCCTTAGAGTGGCCTATAGATTACACCCTTAGAGTGACCTATAGATTACAACCTTAGAGTGACCTATAAATTACACCCTTAGAGTGACCTATAAATTACACCCTTAGAGTGGCCTATATATTACAACCTTAGAGTGACCTATAAATTACACCCTTAGAGTGACCTATCAATTACACCCTTAGAGTGGCCTATAGATTACACCCTTACAGCGACCAATAAATTACACCCTTCAAGAGGCCTATAAATTACACCCTTAGAGTGGCCTATAAATTACACCCTTAGAGTGACCTATAGATTACACCCTTACAGCGACCAATAAATTACACCCTTCAAGAGGCCTATAAATTACACAGAGTGGCCTATAAATTACACCCTTAGAGTGGCCTATAAATTACACCCTTAGAGTGACCTATAAATTACACCCTTAGAGTGGCCTATAAATTACACCCTTAGAGTGGCCTTTAAATTACACCCTTAGAGTGGCCTATAAATTACACCCTTAGAGTGACCTTTAAATTACACCCTTAGAGTGGCCTATAAATTACACCCTTAGAGTGGCCTATAAATTACACCCTTAGAGTGGCCTATAAATTACACCCTTAGAGTGGCCTATGAATTACACACTTAGAGTGGCCTATAGATTACACCCTTAGAGTGGCCTATAAGAATGAGTTACATTGTTAGTATCCATAAATGACACACTAAAAGCATTGCCAGTGTGAGTGAGCTTCATAGTAAGTAACCTTACAGTGATTCATTAACATCCAAATAGTGTTACAGTAAGTATTTACAGCCAAGCTCACTGATACAGTAAGTATTTACAGCCAAGCTCACTGATACAGTAAGTATTTACAGCCAAGCTCACTGATACAGTAAGTATTTACAGCCAAGCTCACTGATACAGTAAGTATTTACAGCCAAGCTCACTGATACAGACACACAATCTTCAAACCACAAGTGTCAAAATTCACAGTGTCCTAAATGTGACACAGAATAAGGCACATATTTATATACCAAATGCTGAAAATGAAACACATTCCTATATATAACAAATGACCAAAGAGAGCCTTGCAAAATGTTGACATTGAATTGAGTGGTGTACATGGTTACTGTTTAAGTATAAATTCTCAATATTAATCCTCTGACACCTGGAAAACTTTACAATTAGTTTATTTGAATAAAAGTATGTATTTAGTTTTCGTATAGTGTGAATTGAGAAAATGAAAATTCACAGAAATGTTTGGTTTTTTCTTTACTGTCATCTACCGTAAAATCCCATGTAATGTCCGTATTTTTTTTCACCGAAAATTAATCCAAAAAAGGGGGTGCGGACATTACAGAGCTATAGAGGAAATGACACTTCTTTTATATCATATCTCCTTGAATTGTGTTCTTAAAAGCCAATGAAAAAAATGACATTGCGCCAATACTTTTGTCCGACAACTGTAGATTTACAATGATTTTCTTTGTAAATCGGCAGCTTCAATTTGCATTTTTTGCCTGCTGACATTACATGAAAGGTGGGTTTTTTCCCCAGATTTTTGTGTCAAAAAAGGGGTGCAGACATTACACAGATGTAGACATTACTTGGGTTTTTACAGTAATAGAGACTTTCATTTATAGTTGAAATCAAAGCTTAACACATCACTTACCTGCTGAGAAGCCATGTTTGTTTGGTACAAGACAGGGAGTACAGGATGCGTTTCTTCTCAGCGGCGTTGTTACTCGTCTTGTACTGACTGTACAGGAAGTCCCACTCGTTGACCCCACCCTGCGCGATACTTGTACAGTAGACAGCTTGCTTGATGTCGGGGTCGATTCTTAATTTCAGAGATATGAAAATTAAAATTTATCTATAGGTAACTAGGGATGCGCAGATCCAATAAGTAGAATGATAACTATTACTTACATGAGCGATTAATTATCACCTAAGGTCACAAGGAAAGGCATTTGATAATCTAACTCTGTTGTGTTGATAAATTTTCTAAACAATAAATGTTTGTTAATGCCGCAAAACTTACGTGTTGATATGTCGACTATCATCCATCCAGCTCTTAAACAGACTTTTGGATGTGGTGATACATGACTCAACATTATACGTACAGGCTAGATCAGTTAGGAGAATACGAAGCATTCTGTAGAGAAAGAAAAGACCATGGAATCACGAGAAATGCTTTGAGGAACCTTTATCATCTTAAAAATTATTGAAATTATCATGTCCATGGCTACAATTTCTCAGTAAAACCAGTTCTGTTGATGAATGTAATTAATTTTATAGATAATACCTAACATTCATGTTATTTGATATTTTATCATTGAATTTTTTAAAATGGCTACAAAATTTTTGAACACGTTATTCTATTGTTGTGTGACATCAACATTTTTTATATCAAAGTAACAATAGAGTGAGGACTGCTTACTTTTTCAAATGTCCCTCATCATTAGAAGCATTCATGCCAACATCGGTGAACGGTTTTGTAACCAGGGTCTTCATTACGTTTGAATACTTCCCATAGACACTAGACATCATAAGCATTCGTGATACATAGGTGAATTGGCTGGCTGCAGCCTGCCAGGGAGCATACTCCTGTTCATTCCCAAGATATTCAATGGTTTGGAGAGCTGTCATGAAGTCCAGTTCAGCTGCCCTGAGTAAAATTAGGAATACATACTAAATACAACCAAACCTGCATAATAGATCACCTCTATATAACAAGTACCTGTGTATACAGACCACCTCTATAAAACAAGTACCTGTGTATACAGGCCACCTCTACATTAGTTCCTGTGTATACAGACCACCTCTATAAAACCAGTACCTGTGTATACAGACCACGTCTATATAACACATACCTGTGTATACAGACCACCTCTTCATAACAAGTACCTGTGTATACAGACCATCACTATATAACAGTACCTGTGTATAAAGACCATGTCTATATATCAAATACTTGTCTATAAAAACCATCTCTGTGAGTTTGTTGTTATAAGAAATTCTTGAAGTACATATAAGATTAGGTTAGGGTAAGTTTAGCTACGAAAAAAAAAGTGGAAAAAAACATGAGAACACTTGAATAAACAATGCATTTACTTTCACAACAAAATATTGATTTGAACAATAATAAACATATTGTGACAAACAACATTACATTTACTTTGACAAACGATATATTGACTTACTTTGACAAACGATATATTGACTTACTTTGACAAACAATAGATTGACTTATTTTGACAAATGATACATTGACTTACTCTGACAAACGATATATATAACTTTGACTAACTTTTTGACAAACAATATATTATTTTGACAAATGATACATTGACTTACTCTGACAAACGATATATTGACTTATTTTGACAAACAATAGATTGACTTATTTTGACAAACGATACATTGACTTACTCTGACAAACGATATATTGACTAACTTTGACAAACAATATATTGACTTACTTTGACAAACTCCATGCATCATTGATTATTTGACCTCTATTTATTGTATGGATGACCTTCAATTAGAAGAAAAAGATAAAAGTAACGAAAGAAAATCCATTAAATAGCAAATAAAATACCTAAATTGAAAAAAACAAACAAAATAAATAAACCTTCAATGAATATTTTACTTTACTCAAAAGAATATCACAGAAAAAATGATGCTTGTATTAAATAAAGCACTATTGTGCAGATAGAGTGACCCTGAATTATTACAATCTGTAGGTGTTGCTGTTTTGCCTTGTCTAAAACAGCATCACTAATGCATACATTGCAAAGTTTTAAACAAGGAAATATTTGTAAGACATAGATGCTTCACCACCATGCACATAAGCTTCTTCTTAAGAACCTGTGATACAACCTTTCACTGCCAAGTACAAGATTATCATCCTGTAGCCATTTTTATTTTCTTTTAAATTAGTCCTAAAATCAAAAGGACAAAACTAGAGACCAAGAGAAACCTACAAGTTTGAGAAAGATTCATCCAGGGCTTATTGAGAAATAACAATAACAAAATTTGTTTATGGACGGCGGACGGACAACAAATGGACGGCTGGCGGATGGGTCACGGATTTAGGGCGATTTAAATAGTCCACTATCTAATGAAATTTGAGATTCATCCAGTACTTCTCAAGAATGGCAATAGCAGAAATTGTTTGCGGATGGATGGATGGATGGATGGATGGATGGACGACAGACAACAAATGGACGGCTGGCAGACGGACCATGGATGTAGGGCGATTTTGAAAAATCCACTATCTGATAAAATTTGAGATTCATCGAGTACTTCTCAATCAATAACGATAACAAAACTTAATTAGGTACAGTTGATGGATGTATTCAGATGGTGAGCTAAAAAAATCTTCAACATAAAGAGATGCACAATTACTACAAGTAACAAACAACTCAAACTGACCGTGTGATTGGTCTTTAACTGGCCGATAAGTGCATCCCAGTTTGATTGGTCGTAGTTAACGCGATAAAACCCAAACTGTTGAATATTTGCCAGGAACCATTCACCATCTTTGATCTCCGTTCCATTTAGGTTTATTTCTGAAAGAGAATGTATTTCAGTGTAGCATAATAAAAAAAAATCACCCTTGTAATGGAGATTTCTCTGTAAGACCCTCGGGGTAGGGGAAGATTCTTTTAATCTTACTTTGACCAAATCTCTAACATATTTAATAAAATTTCTACAATAAGGAAATAAGGTCTGTCTGTCTGTCTGTCAGTCTGTCTGCCTGCTTCATAGAGAGAGAAATGCCTTGAATCCATTCAACAGGAATGAGATAAGAAACAGAGATCTACGTACGGCTATCTTTGTTGTTAAACCACAAAACATCTTGGCTGGACACGTTAAAGTTGGGATGGGCTTGGTGTGTTAATGTTAACGGAATCCTCCATTGGTAGCTGAAAAATCAACACATTGATCAAAGTTTTCATAACCACTAGCAACAGTTTCTATGGTAATATACTTCTTATTTATTTTTAACGCTATTTTATATTTTTTTACTCGTATTTTATCATAGAATAAATATCAACACATCCTAAACTGAAAAAGTGTGACATATAATAAAATACATCATACAGCTGAGGTCGTACATGTATACTGAATAAATAAACGGAATTTTATCATATTGATAGTTGCACTATGTGACCTTGACACCATGACCCCAAACCTCATTATGAACACTATACTGTCAAAAACCTTATAAATTTACTGCGGAATACTAGAATTATACAAAATCCAACTGAAAGATTTGATTTGGAAACTCACTTAAAAGGGGAGATAAATCTCAGCGGATCGGTGGCGTTGGGATTAGAGAGGAAGCGTTTCTGCGATACGGAGATGCCAGTGTTAGATTCTCGTCTCATTGTCACGACAGGGTAGTTCATCTGGAGTGTCCATGTGTCCATGATATCTTTAACATTTATCCCTTTTGGGGAAACCTATCAACACCAAAAACAACACATAACAGAAATACTGGTTGCAAAGGAATACGATTCTGCATTTGACTCGTCAGGGATTGAATTTCAACCCTACTTCAGATATCAATAGACGAAAACATGAATCATTCAACGCTGTAATGTTGTTGAATTTTCCATGGTCAGTTTTTCGCAGTTGTTCAAGTGAAAACTATTTTGTGAACATGCATATATTCTGCAGTAAACAGGTAAACATATCTACATTTGTGAGTATCCCTATATAACATAGAGTTATTCCTGTACATTATAATCTGTGATAACTATACAATACATACAGACGTGACAACTATACAATACATACAGATGTAATTACTATACAATACATACAGATGTGATAACTATACAATACATACAGATGTGATAACTATACAATACATACAGACGTGACAACTATACAATACATACAGATGTAATTACTATACAATACATACAGATGTGATAACTATACAATACATACAGATGTGATAACTATACAATACATACGGATGTGACAACTATACAATACATACAGATGTAATTACTATACAATACATACAGATGATGTGATAACTATACAATACATACAGATGTTATAACTATACAATACATACAGATGTTATAACTATACAATACATACAGATGTGATAACTATACAATACATACAGATGTGATAACTATACAATACATACAGATGTGACAACTATACAATACATACAGATGTGACAACTATACAATACATACAGATGTGACAACTATACAATACATACAGATGTGACAACTATACAATACATACAGATGTTATAACTATACAATACATACAGATGTGATAACTATACAATACATACAGATGTGATAACTATACAATACATACAGATGTGATAACTATACAATACATACAGATGTGATAACTATACAATACATACAGATGTTATAACTATACAATACATACAGATGTGATAACTATACAATACATACAGATGTTATAACTATACAATACATACAGATGTTATAATTATACAATACATACAGATGTGATAACTTTACAATACATACAGATGTGATAACTATACAATACATACAGATGTGATAACTATACAATACATACAGGTGTGATAACTATACAATACAAACAGATGTGATAACTATACAATACAATCAGATGTGATAATTATACAATACATACAGGTGTGATAACTATACAATACAAACAGATGTGATAACTACACAATACATACAGATGTGATAACTATACAATACATACAGACGTGATAACTATACAATACATACAGATGTGATTACTATAAAACATACAGATGTGATAACTATACAATACATACAGATGTGATAACTATACAATACATACAGATGTGACAACTATACAATAGAATTGATTATAAGATCTTTTCCCATAGATCTACTACCTACCTCACCCATGGACTTCCATAGATCTACTACCTACCTCACCCATGGACTTCCATAGATCTACTACCTACCTCACCCATGGACTCCCATAGATCTACTACCTACCTCACCCATGGACTCCCATAGATCTACTACCTACCTCACCCATGGACTCCAATAGATCTACTACCTACCTTGTCCACCGGCTTCCATAGATCTACTACCTACCTCACCCATGGACTCCTATAGATCTACTACCTACCTTGTCTACAGGCTTCCATATATCTACTACCTACCTCACCAATGGACTTCCATAGATCTACTACCTACCTTGTCTATGGGCTTCCATAGATTTACTACCTACCTCACCCATGGATTTCCATAGATCTACTACCTACCTCACCAACGGACTTCCATAGATCTACTACCTACCTTGTCCACTGGCTTCCATAGATTTACTACCTACCTCACCCATGGACTTCCATAGATCTACTACCTACCTCACCCATGGACTTCCATAGATCTACTACCTACCTCACCCATGGACTTCCATAGATCTACTACCTACCTCACCCATTGACTTCCATAGATCTACTACCTAACTCGTCCATGGACTTCCATAGATCTACTACCTACCTCGTCCATGGACTTCCATAGATCGTCGTGGGCAGCATTTTTCTTTATTTTGCTGTTCAGGTATTTCTGTAAAATAAATCACTACAGTCATCAAATGATTTTTACAGAAATATTAATAATGATAAAAGGTAGCAAGCTTTATGTGACATTCTCACTTTGGTAGAATAAAAAGAGTTTTAATGAATACAGTACATTTGTCTAATGACTGTAACTTTGTCAACAAATATTTCGGCATCATTTCAGAGAAGAACAAAACAGCAGGCCAATGTAAAACAAAACAGCAGGCCAATGTAAAACAAAACAGCAGGCCAATGTAAAACAAAACAGCAGGCCAATGTAAAACAAAACAGCAGGCCAATGTAAAACAAAACAGCAGGCCAATGTAAAACAAAACAGCAGGCCAATGTAAAACAAAACAGCAGGCCAATGTAAGTTTGTTTAGATAGGAGGAATCAACATTAAAATGTCTTACTTTTTAAAATATTATTTTAAAGCCAAATTAAAAAAAAACTTAAAAAATAATGTAAATGTGCTATGTATAGACATTTCCTACATTTGGAATCATCGTACAGGGTCTATAAATAGAATACCTAAACATACCTGTATTCCCATTTGGAAGATATCGTCACCAAGAAAGAACTTCATCATTCGAATTATGCTGGCTCCCTTTATAACACAAACCATTAAAATAACAAATTAATTACAAACTCCTATATTATGTAAAACTTTAACGTCTTGAAGTAAAGTGTCCTTAACAACCATTACAGTTATAGTTATTTATACGGTTTGAGATATGCAATTTGTTTCCATTGCTCATCAGGACACAATAGATTTTGTCAAGTTCTTAACGTACGCACAAAACCTCATACATGTCTACACTACCCTCCCCCCACCCCCCACCCCCCACCCCCACCCCCACCCCACACACACACACACACACACACACGCAAAAACAACACCAGCTCATACTCTACAAAAAGAAAACACTCTGTGTTGTCTGACAAACTCAGTTTTTTCTCACTCAGTTTTTCTGGACAAACTCAACCTTTCATGACACACCTAATGTTCGAAAGATATTTCCAAGAGGTTCTATTTATAGCCAATTTCAGAGATAAAACAACAGAAAAAAAGTTTTTGAAAGTGAAATGGATGGAACAATAAACTGGTGAATCACGGAAAACTTTAACGATAGTTTATATTTTGGTACCTTGGAATAGGAAATAGAATCAAACACTTCTCTGATTTGAGTCGGATTGTACACGGCTGCAAACATCGGATGTGATGTCACTAGAGCATCATATTCCAAGGCATCTTGTAGTTCATCGACAACAAAAATTTCAAACTGTAAACGAAGTTTAAATGTTTTTATGATAAATGAATCAACTGATAAAAATGCCAACACAAGACATGTTTAAAACTTATCATGTAGTATTAATTAAATTTATAAATCTTTTTGACAGTTTTTTTTTTTCAATTATAATTTGATTGAATTAAAAACAAAAATACAAATTTATAATAACATATAGCACAATTAAAAAAATGGATTCACTTGGATTAAACAGCTGCTTTGTCCTTCCTCTAGGACTCTTCAGTGATTGTATGTGTATTCAGGCCTTGAAGCTGACTAAGGAAAGTCGTAACCTTAAAATAGTACTAAATTTTATGCGACATCAAAGACATGATACACCATTTAGAAATCGAAGTGTAACTAAAAGTAATATTATCACTTTCTCAAACTGCAGTAATTACTTCCGGCTGCTGATACAATATGGACATCAAACTCAGTCATCAGTGTCAATACCTAGCTTTATCTACAGTGTACATTCATAATGCTCTTGGTGTAAATGTGTCATTAGGAGACAACAGTAAACCATACTTTATTTTCAATGATTTACTGACAGGTTTTAACTTATAAGGATGCAGAAAGGGACATCATTAACATGGTGCAGGCCCAAAAAAGGAAAATCTTCTGTTAAAATGGACACCAGCATCCATCTAATGAGCAAGTCTATGGGTTTAGTCACCAAGCCATGACATACCAAAGTTACCGAAATGATACTTCATACTCAGTGCTTGTCACTCAGCAGTGTACAAGAACTGGTGGGGTGTCATATTCTAATGTGTTCAGATTATGATTGTAATATAAAAATCTGTCAGCAGCCCAATCATCCGTCGACAATGTATTCCTATGACCATGTCTGTTGGTGTCATTTGCTGTTGTGTTCAGGTAATGATATTTCAGTGGGATTGCACTATAAAAATATATCCGTCGACAGCCTAATCATCAATCAACAATTTATTCCTATGACCATGTCTGTTGGTGTCTTCTGCTACTGTGTTGAGGTTATGATTTTTCAGTGGGATTGCACTATAAAAATAACTGTCAGCAGCCCAACCATCCATTGACAATGCATTCCTATGACAATGTCTGTTGGTGTCTTTTTTACTATGTTGAGGTTATGACATATCAGTGGGATTAGATGATTATCTATCACAGGCCTCACCATTCTTCAGCATTTCAACTGTTGTACAACAACACACATAGGACAACTTACATATTTCCAGTTAGGGAATTTATAATCGGCTCCAAAATATTCTATGAAGGTCGCGAACCCTTCATTGAGCCAAAGGTCATCCCACCAGTCCAGGGTCACAAGGTTACCAAACCACTGAAACACAAAGATAAGTATACATTAGATAAAACTGCTTCAGATCTAAAGTCATTTTACACACATTATATATACAGTAAAATTATTAATTTTCGTGGAGGATTTATTTTTGTTTATTTTGTGGGTACCTTATGTTAATACGTTATGCTAAAACTAGTATCAGTAAAAGGACGTGTATACATTTTTAATATATGTAAACCCTGTATGAAATGTGATGACATGTTACCTGGTGAGCAAGTTCATGAGTGATGACAGTAGTGACACGTTGTTTATTTGACTCTGACGATACTCCCTCTTCATACAACATGGCTGTCTCCCTGTATGTGATAAGTCCCCAGTTCTCCATGGCTCCAGCTGCAAAGTCGGGAATGGCAATCATGTCTGAAAGAAAAAGAAAAAATACAATAAAATTCCAGATCTACATGCAAATTTGAATGGTAATGATTGAATTTTAGTGAAGTCATTTGGCATTCATATTACCCATGAATGCCAACCTAAAACTAAAAGATTTTTATCTATGATTTGTAATTGACCTCTGTTTATAGAGGGAGACAATTCTGTTTTGTTTACACATAATGGTGATATTCCTTCATGGAGCTGGTAATATGCACATTTCCTTACAATTGTTGTGGGCGCAAACATTTACTTCAATAATTTAGTGTTCTCAGACGGTAATTATAGTTGATATAAATGCATTTGCACATGAGAAACTGGAGTTACAATAGTTTTCCTGATCCTTACCTTGCTTTGGAAGAGGAAACTTGATTCCAAAGAATTTTTCATACAGGTTTAGTGTAGTTACCCCAACATCCAGTGCAAAACTGGTCTGATTAACTTTCTCTGGCGTTGCCCAGGCACCGTACTGTTAAAGTACAAACCATACATGTAAAATATGAACACTTCAGCTTGTCACCATAACATATCGTTGTGTAGGTTGTCTACCACTGTACTTTATTTTAATGACCACCTTTTTTTCCTTTTTCCTCATTGACTGAGCCTAAACATTTTCAACTTTGTCAAACACTTATCAACCGTTAATCAGCTCATTGTGTTGTTATGAGAATTAAACAGCACTACACTCTAACCTACTATATCACTATCTCACATTATTAACACATTATATTCACTTGAGAAAAGCTTGATAAATGTACCCATGTCCTTTTTATTACACCTGTAATACTGTGATGTCATTTTAGATAATAATGAGACACACTCACAGATTTCGTTGTGATGTAGCAATGGAGACTATACATACAGAGTAGACATGACTTTCAAATTTCGTAAAAATTCTCTTTTCTACATTATTACTATTTGCCTAAGTAATTGACCATGTGATTAAAAGGACATTAAATTTGTTTCCTTTGGATGAGAAATTGATGAAACTCATTACAAATTTTTATTTTAGCTTGTCAAAGGTTCGCTACATTCTTGGACCTATTACATATATTCACATATCAAATGGAACCTCATGTAAGGTCCTATATTTATCAACTGAAAATATAAAATTTCTCTTTAACTTCTCACCGTGACATTGTTCTCGGTTAGCTTTGATTGCTTTTGGAAATCACAGACAATCATAGCCACCAGATACGTAGACATTACAGGGGACTCCTGATAAACATCAGCTACTAACCCATCTCTCCTGAAAACGATATCACATGATCTACCAAATATGTACGTTAAAGTCAAATTCATTTCTCCTGAAAATATTATCACATGATCTACCATATATGTACGTTAGAGTCAAATTTGTCTCTCCTGAAAACGTTATCACATGATCTACCAAATATGTACGTTAGAGTCAAATTCATCTCTCCCGAAAACGTTATCACATGATCTACCAAATATGTACGATAAAGTCAAATTCATTTCTCCTGCAAACATTATCACATGATCTACCATATATGTACGTTAGAGTCAAATTTGTCTCTCCTGAAAACGTTATCACGTAATCTACCAAATATGTACGTTAAAGTTAAATTCATCTCTCCCGAAAACGTTATCACATGATCTACCAAATATGTACGATAAAGTCAAATTCACCTCTCCTGAAAATGTTATCACATGATCTACCATATATGTACGATAAAGTCAAATTAATTTCTCCTGCAAACATTATCACATGATCTACCATATATGTACGTTAGAGTCAAATTTGTCTCTCCTGAAAACGTTATCACGTAATCTACCAAATATGTACGTTAAAGTTAAATTCATCTCTCCCGAAAACGTTATCACATGATCTACCAAATATGTACGATAAAGTTAAATTCATCTCTCCTGAAAACGTTATCACGTAATCTACCATATATGTTGATGATGATTCTTAGTATGTCCAGTGATTGTAATAGTTTAAGTTATCCATAATTTACAAATATTCTAATACATAGTTTACTTTGTAAATCAATAAACAGTGACCCACCATGCCGTGCCTGTTGTTTCTGTTGGCATGTTTGATAAAGACACCAGATCTGGTTTCCTTATCAATGTTATCTTGAATTTTGCTTTCATATTTGGTTCATCAAAACAAGGGAATGCTTTCCTGGCATGTGTTGGTTCCATCTTAGTCGTAGCCATATATCTGAAATAGATTTTGAATTGGAGGTGTAGCACTTGATGTTATGATACTGCAGGGTAAATATGAACCAAAACAGATTCTCAAAAAATGACAATGATCTGGGACAGGTAGTGACAGGGGCTACACTGTATATCTACCTTCCTCACCCATCGTAATATGGCAAGAGTGTCATAGAACTTACATTGTTTTGTTTCCATGTTGGTACGAGCTGTAGTACATGCCAACCATGTTATTTCCTAATACACCACTAAACGACATACTCAGTGTATAGTTCTGACCAGCGGTCAAGCGTCCTGTCAGGTGTAAAATCAAGAATTGTCTCTCTAGGTCCTGTGAGACCTTTGATACAGCCACCATACCTCCACTCTTGTCAACAAGTTGAAGAGTCTGTTCATCAATTTCTAAATTTACTATATGTAACGTGACGTTATTTGTGCTTTCAACACAGGAGATGTGTATTGTTATGTTACCACTAAATCTAAATTGTTCTGGGTCTGCTTTATAAAAGTCTGGGAACATCTGGAGCTCGTAGAGAGATGGAAGAACAGACCGTGGAAGTCTAACATCTGTCAACACTTCGGCAGGATTACTCAGTGCATTGTTCTGGAGCCAGGATCGTATTGTCTCCATGTTTGTTTTCAGCCACTTGATATTAGATTCAGTTTTTTCTACTGCCTGTTCATAAGCTCTTGTTCCTGAGCCCATGTCTGGGTTTGTAGTTTTGAAGTCTAAAAGCTGAAGAAATAAACCAATGCTATTCGATTATTGTTCATAGAATAATAGTCCTTCATTCCTTAATACAAGATGGCTGCCTGTCAACCATTTTATTTTTCTATCAATTTTTTTATGATAAACTTATTGATATTCCATTCATTCTATTAAAACAAGAAAATCAAATGTTGTAACTTACTTGTTGTAAGTCGAAATCCGTGTTAAAGGATCTTGTTACACCAGAGATAAGGTTTGAGAAGGAGAAGGATCCGCCTCCAAATCTAGAACAATCAATAACTAATTTAAACTTATAAGATAGTTTTTTCTGTCAGAAGTGACGCAAATTCAGCTTTGTTAAAACAAATTTAATATTTTCTTCTGAAGAATTTCTGGAGTAATGTTATTTAAAAATATATTTGCAATATATTGTATGTAAAATACAATGTACTTGATACCATTCTTTTATAGACTTCTACAGTGCCTTGGCTCTCACTGCACAAGCTGCAACATTCAAAGAACAAAGATTTCTTCCAAGGGAGATAATACAATCCCCACTGACCACATTCCTAAGGGACAAAGGGAGACAATCTATGCCAGAGAAAATTTTCTTTATGTGATGGACAAATTTAATGCTCACTTTTCATGTTGACCTAGAAAAAAGATTCTGTCACTTACTCCGTCAGTAGGGTGTTCCAGTTGGCTCGGATGAAGTTCCAGGCAAGATCCCGTCCAATAGAATGTCCGGACACATATATTATGACATAACTGGCATCCTGCTTTCTAACCTCATTTGAATCCAAACTCATTTCCAGGTATCTATCGAATGAAGCAGGATTAACAGCAATTTGTATAATGATTGGTATATTTCTATATACCGTATTTCATCACAAATAAGCCCCCTTCCCACTTTTGTGTTTCTTGCAGGAAAAAGGAGATATTCATAAATTAAACTTCTCCATACTTTAGCCATATACTTTCTCATTTACAGTGAAATTTTAATTTGACAGTGTAAAGGTTGACATTGTCTAGGAATTTTATTTTACACTTATATTTTAACACTGAATAAAATCTCTAAAAAGAGAAACATCTAAAAATCAAATCTTCAGAGATAACCTATGACTGTATTGTTACTTTACAAAAAATCTTTATTGTTTCAAACTTTTGGTAAAACTGCGAAATTTTGAAATTGAAATCGGCATTTATATTACAAAAATTATATGGATTAATTAATACAGGCTGATAAAGATCTCCTGATCATTGTAAAATTACATGAACTTTATTTGATATTCAGTTTTTATTGCTATGATACAAACAATACGCAGATTTACAGATTTTCTTGATCTCCTTACAATTTTCAATCTTACTGAAATTCAGCAAAACAAAAATTGTTTCAAAAAAGGACTTTTAACTTTTTGCTGGAAATAAGACACCAATCTCCAATGAAAACAGAAACTGAACACCACAGAACATAAATACAATGTACTGACTTGCTGAGGATCCATGGCTGCTTGGAACAAGACAGGGAGTACAGGATGCGTTTCTTCTCTGCGGCGTTGTTACTTGTCTTGTACTGACTGTACAGGAAATCCCACTCGAGGGCCCCACCCTCACCAATACCTGTACAGTACACAGCCTGCTTAACGTCAGGGTCAATTCTGGAAAGTATACACAAAACCAAGTTGATACAGTAATTAACATAGACAGGTATAAGAGAAATAAAAAATTATAAAAGAGACGTGGGGCCGTATTTATGAAACCGTTCTCATGCTCAAGCATGAATTTTGTGCTCAATCCTTGTCTTGTTTAAGTTAAAAACTAATAAATAAGACTGATTTTGCCAAAGATTAAAAAAAAAGTTTGAAAGGACTTCAAACCAAAGTTATATTCTATGTTTATATTTGACATTTGTATTATTTCATATGATTTAGGTGAATTATAAAAAAGTCTGTATGAGCACAAAATCTATGCTTGAGCATGAGAATGGTTTCATGAAAACGGGCCCTGATCTACTTAAATATTGTTGAAAAGAGGAAAACAAAATCATACTACAAGGTAAAATATAAAGATACCCTAAGGGCCTTTCTCATTCAGCTGTTTTAGTAATAACAGGTTCCCTTAGTTATGGAGAAATTGTTTGAATATTTTAACACATCTGACCTGTATGACTTTGAAAGTGGGTCAAGGTTATTCATTTGAACAAATGAACCTGGTAGACTTTTGTTTCAGCATGTAACTGGCCCAATATCATTTCCCACGTCTCAAGAACAACACATTGAAAATTCTAACACATTTGACCCCCATGACTTTGAAACAGGTTGAAGGTCATTATCTGACTCTTCACTACAGTCTACTGGTTCATGACCTTGGGAAGCTTGGTTAATGAGATAAAGTATTTACAGGTTAATACTGGATGGAAGGACCACTGATGCTGTGCCACAGAAAAGACAGGTGAAAAGAAAGTTACAAAACAAATTAAGTATTAGACATAGTAGAAACATGTAATGAATAAAACTGCAGCAAACAGCTGTTTCATCCTTCTAGGACTCGACAGTGATGCTACATCATACAGCTGTTTCATCCTTCTAGGACTCGTCAGTGATGCTACATCATACAGCTGTTTCATCCTTCTAGGACTCGTCAGTGATGCTACATCATACAGCTGTTTCATCCTTCTAGGACTCGTCAGTGATGCTACATCATACAGCTGTTTCATCCTTCTAGGACTCTTCAGTGATGCTACATCATACAGCTGTTTCCTCCTTCTAGGACTCGTCAGTGATGCTACATCATACAGCTGTTTTGTCTCTCCAGAACTCGTCAGTGATGCTACATCATACAGCTGTTTTGTCTCTCCAGAACATGTCAGTGATGCTACATCATACAGATGTTTCACCCTTCTAGGACTCGTCAGAGATGCTACATGTACATCATACAGATGTTTCACCCTTCTAAGACTCGTCAGTGATGCTACATCATACAGCTGTTTCGTCTCTCCAGAACTTGTCAGTGATGCTACATCATACAGCTGTTTCGTTTCTCCAGAACTCGGCAGTGATGCTAAGACTTATATTGTTAAGAGTCAAGTCAGAAAACGAGGTGAATTCACCATATAATACAACAGATAACTTTAAAATGTTGGACGAAGTAAAGATAATAGTAAATATTTTAATTCCTATGATTCAGATGACATATAGCCAGGTAACAGCAAACCTAGGAGATGTAGTCCACTGGCAGAGCTTACCTTCCACAATATCAAAAAATTGCATAAATACACAAGTGAAAAGTTCAGGTAAGTTAAAGTATAGAATTATTAACACTTTAAACCTTACTTGTTATCGCTGGGATTAAGCATCCACTCCTGGAACATATCTGTAGCAGATCTTACACACTCCTCAATCCCATACCCACAGGCCTGACTGGACATCGAGATTCTCAACATTCTGTGATAACAACTCATGTGATTAGTCCCACATAATTAAATTCCTTTATATCACAAAATCTCAAACAGAAGCAGGAAGCCTTGGGCAGAACCATTTTGTTTTCCAATCTGATTAACGAGATTGTCACTGAAGCAATATCTTGTGGAGAAACACAGTTAGATACTAAAACACTGTGACAACTGTTAATCCCTGATTCCACATGAAAGTCATAAATAATTAAATGAAAATCTATTTTCAGAAAATGAAATCTTGTTTACAATATCTTACTTTATCAATACTACTAAATATCATGAAGCAGCCTCACATGGCTTTATACAAACTGTTAAAGCATCTACACAACCCTGACTACACCTACTTTTCCAGATGTCCATCTGTATTCTTCTCACGTAATCCAACACTTTCAAACGGTTTGAAGATCAGATTTCTGATTACTGTGGTAAAGTCTCCATAGAGATCAGTTCTCATAAGCATTTCATCAGCATACCCCAGCTGTGTAAGTGCAGCATACCAAGGGACATAATCCAGTTCGTTTGTCAGATAATCTATCATATCTAGGGCGACTTGTAATGGTAATTCACCAGCACTGTAAGATAAATTACTCTATCAGAATCCTTGAAAATATTCTCATTTATTGTTTACTGTAACACAAACAAGATTACAGAAAATGTTACAAATTTCTCAGATGAGTCAAAAGTTAAAAGAAATTAAATTAAAAATTACAATATAAAAAGTCAAAACACAATAAAAGTCATAAGACATTAAAGGTCATAAGTCATTAAAGGTCATAAGTCATTTAAGGTCATAAGACATTAAAGGTCATAAGTCATTAAAGGTCATAAGACAATAAAGGTCATAAGTCATTAAAGGTCATAAGACAATAAAGGTCATAAGTCATTAAAGGTCATAAGACAATAAAGGTCATAAGTCATTAAAGGTCATAAGACAATAAAGGTCATAAGTCATTAAAGGTCATAAGTCATTAAAGGTCATAAGACAATAAAAATCATTAATCAATAAAAGAATGTCATTAAAAGTGCTAAGATTTAATGTAAAGAAATGAAATACAGTTGGACCCACAAGAGGCCATTGGGTAAGGGGAGATAACTTTCTCAATGTAAATAAACATTAGTTAGGGGCTAGAATATTTCAATTAAAGACTACTTGTTAGAAGTAAAAGTAGAAAGTATAAGTGTCCATTTTTATCTCCCCAAGGTTTGTCAATACAAGTGTTATCTTGATAAGATCAATATCTATGCACATGGACTTTTCAGGAAAGGACACATTTTATTCCAAAAAGTTTAAGATAAAAAAATTTAATGGGTGACCAGTCAAACTCCTCCATTTGTCTTTGACTAACAAGGTCATTTTCTTTGCTACTTCAGATGAATTTTTACAAAACATTATATGTCTATTTTATGTTACTAAGACTTTCACAACAGCAAAAATTTTGTTTCAGAACTTACTTTGCAAGATTCCAAGCATCGTTGATAAGTTGTCCTCTGTTTATTGTATGGATCACCTGTAGATTGTAAGGTAAGTACTTACATACATGTTTATTGTATGGATCACCTGTAGATTGTAAGGTAAGTACTTACATACATGTTTATTGTATGGATCACCTGTAGATTGTAAGGTAAGTACATACATACATGTTTATTGTATGGATCACCTGTAGATTGTAAGGTAAGTACATACATACATGTTTATTGTATGGATCACCTGTAGGTTTTAAGGTAAGTACATACATACATGTTTATTGTATGGATCACCTGTAGGTTGTAAGGTAAGTACATACATACATGTTTATTGTATGGATCACCTGTACAATCATTTACTAGAGATCTCAGGGGGTCCCTGGCACCAGTCATTAACTAGAGATCTCAGGGGGATCCTGGCACCAGTCATTTATGAGAGATCTCAGGGGGATCCTGGCACCAGTCATTAACTAGAGATCTCAGGGGGATCCTGGCACCAGTCATTAACTGGAGATCTCAGGGGGATCCTGGCACCAGTCATTAACTAGAGATCTCAGGGGGTCCCTGGCACCAGTCATTAACTGGAGATCTCAGGGGGATCCTGGCACCAGTCATTAACTAGAGATCTCAGGGGGACACCAGTCATTAACTGGAGATCTCAGATCACCAGTCATTAACTAGAGATCTCAGGGGGATCCTGGCACCAGTCATTAACTAGAGATCTCAGGGGGATGAGTCATTAACTGATCTCAGGGGGATCCTAGAGATCTCAGGGGGATCCTGGCACCAGTCACCAGTCATTAACTAACTGAGATCTCAGAGATCTCAGGGGGATCCTGGCACCAGTCATTAACTAGAGATCTCAGGGGGATCCTGGCACCAGTCATTAACTAGAGATCTCAGGGGGATCCTGGCACCAGTCATTGACTAGAGATCTCAGGGGGATCCTGGCACCAGTCATTGACTAGAGATCTCAGGGGGATCCTGGCACCAGTCATTGACTAGAGATCTCAGGGGGATCCTGGCACCAGTCATTAACTAGAGATCTCAGGGGGATCCTGGCACCAGTCATTAACTAGAGATCTTAGGGGGATCCTGGCACCAGTCATTAACTAGAGATCTCAGGGGGACCCTGGCACCAGTCATTAACTAGAGATCTCAGGGGGACCCTGGCACCAGTCATTAACTAGAGATCTCAGGGGGACCCTGGCACCAGTCATTAACTAGAGATCTCAGGGGGATCCTGGCACCAGTCATTAACTAGAGATCTCAGGGGGATCCTGGCACCAGTCATTAACTAGAGATCTCAGGGGGATCCTGGCACCAGTCATTAACTAGAGATCTCAGGGGGATCCTGGCACCAGTCATTAACTAGAGATCTCAGGGGGATCCTGGCACCAGTCATTAACTAGAGATCCCAGAGATCATCCACCATTTTATGACTTTTAATGGGTTCTACATGAGTTGTGCTTTTTTCACCTTGATTTCTTTACTATGACCTTTTGTCATCCATATGGTTTCAATCTCTACTAAAAGTAACTAAAATAATCACAGATAAAATTTCAGAAATTCTGATGATAAATGTGGTGAGAAATTCAACAATGATAAATGTGGTGAGAAATTCAACAATGATAAATGTGGTGAGAAATTCAACAATGATAAATGTGGTGAGAAATTCAACAATGATAAATGTGGTGAGAAATTCAACAATGATAAATGTGGTGAGAAATTCAACAATGATAAATGTGGTGAGAAATTCAACAATGATAAATGTGGTGAGAAATTCAACAATGATAAATGTGGTGAGAAATTCAACAATGATTGATTCAATAGTTCTCAAAAAACAGTGATAACAAGTATTATTAAGGACAGATTGTGGTCACAAGGTTATTTTAACAGCCAATCACCTGATACCGGAGAGCTTAAAACTGTATCACTGTAATCCTACCTTATGATCTGTTTTCAGTTGATTTGTCAATGCAACCCAATTGTCATTTTCATAATTCACTCTGTAAAACCCGAACTGCTGGACGTTTGCCAAAAACCAGTCCCCATCTTCCATTGGTTTCTTCAGTGTTATGTCTGAATAATCAAAAAACAATGTATCACATATCCGTGGACTGTTATGAAACAATAATAAAACTTAAGACATACTGTACGATCATTAATTTTCATGAATTTCATGGGTATCCTTAATCCAGGTATTCACACGTCCATGAACCATGAAAAAAATGTAAGCAGATTTATTGAGCTACCTTCACCAATTAAACAAAGTGCCAATAAAATACTGATTTTTTTTCTCAAAACTATTAAAAATTGGGCCCCAGAAAATATGTAGTTTCACAGCATCAAACCAGGAATCACAAAGAATACAAATCCCCATTACCTGATGTGCTTTGGTATTCAAGTGTGGAATGAGGCCTTCAGATCACTGACAAGAATTTCCTAGAACTTCTACTGGTGACCTTGTCCCTGAGCCTCAAATTTATATACGATATTCTTGTCCTTAAGAAGAATGTGAAGTTTGCTCAAACTCCCGCAACAAAAGAAACCGTTAAAGCACAAACAAGGACTTTCTAAAAAAAGTAAGTGACCTCTAGGTGACGATGGGAAAGTAATGTAGAAGTGGGTTAAAGGAAGAGTCAGCAGTGGGTTTTTTTATGTTTGTGTTACTGTAATAGCTATTGTACATATCCCTTGCTCTGTAATACGATTCTCACCATCAACTTTGTTGTTATGCCAGTACACGTCCTCGCCAGTCTGAGAGAAGTTGACATCTGATTTGAAGGTCACTGTCGTAGGGATCATCCAGGTGTAGCTTGGCAACAGAAATAAACGATGTCATTAATAACCACAAATTATATTCATTAGTTCTGCTCTGTTTAATCAACCTGTTCATAACCAAGGTCATTTTGAGGTGAAGTCTGGTTGAAGTAAGTGGTAGCTACCTCACTGAACAACATACGAGAGGCCCATGACATGCCATCCGGAGCAATGGGGTTTATGTGTTTGTTGAATTACTATGAATGTACATATGTCAGCAGTAATATAATTTTCAGCAGTTTTCACAGAAAATGTAGTGTGTTAAAGTATGTCCTTTCATTCTTTTGTTTAAATAAAGATTATTGTTGATGTGCATATTCATTATTGCACTAATCTACCAAAAAGTGATTAAGTGATTTTAAGTTAAACATGGTGAAATTTATCACTGAAACATTTTGTATGAAAAGTATGTCTCCGTATAATTTGGTAATTTTTGCAATTCTAGAAGATTAATACATACTTGTAAGGGGAGGTAAATCTGCCCGGGTCTACAGCATTAGGATTAGTAAGGAAACGCTTCTGAGTGACCCGAATCTGTGTGTTGTTGACCTTACTGAGGGTCACAACGGGGTAGTTCATCTGGAGGATCCATGTATTCATAATATCCTTTACTGGTAGGTTACGGTGTTCCTCTTTTATTTGCTGAAAAGTTAAAATAATGCATCACTCCCACCTGTAGAACCGAGACCTCGATTACTGACACAATGGTAAATCTACTGTAATAACCAGGCAACAATAACGATAATAAAACAAAATCTGAGGTGTCAATTGTAAAGATAAATTATATTGACGAGTCTCTATTGTCAGTTCATACACTGACAAGTCTCTATCGTCAGTTCCTACACTGACGAGTCTCTATCGTCAGTTCCTACACTGACGAGTCTCTACCGTCAGTTCCTACACTGACGAGTCTCTATCGTCAGTTCCTACACTGACGAGTCTCTATTGTCAGTTCCTACACTGACGAGTCTCTACTGTCAGTTCCTACACTGACGAGTCTCTATCGTCAGTTCCTACACTGACGAGTCTCTATTGTCAGCTTGTAGCTCAAAGAAAGGTAAATTGCACGATAATTATATATTGCCGAGTATCTGTTGTCAGCTCAAAAAAAAAGTACTGACAACCGATTTAAAGCTAAATAAAGTTTTACATATGTATAATGACTGATAGATTGATTGGTTGATTGATTGATGGGGCTTAACGTTAGATTCTAGTTACAATCAGACCTCAGACAGATGAATATTAGTATAAAGAACTACATATGGTCTTGCCTCAGCTGATGTTGTATAAAGTCTAACTAGCACAACCATGCATGTCAACACTGAATGTTTTCAAAAACAGAAAATAATATAAGACTATGAGTTTTATCACATCGGAATAAAGCACAGGAAAAATGATTTATTTTTAAAGATTTTTGAAAGAAAAGGAAATGAAATACCAAGACAACAGATCAGGACTACACACTCAGATATACCTTCTAGGTATTTTAGACAGTAATACATGTGGATATCAGGACAGTATAATGTGTTTATACTCACAGTTTCCATGGCAGCCCATAAATCGTTGTGATCAGCGTTCTTGAATTCTCTCTGCTTCAGATATTTCTGTATAATTGAATTGTATGATTGAATAAAGGAAACGATTGTTACATTTTCTGATCTTTATTTAGTGAAAAGTAACTTAAAAAACAAATCTAGGAAAGACTACAGAGAAAGTAAAACCTTATTACAATGACAGATGTATTATAAAAATTATTGAAGAAACTTCAAAGAGAAGGAGCCAACGTCAGGTATGAGTAAGTGGGTATTTGGTGGGTACTTCGCTGTGAGTATGGATACCAGAGGGTATGCAGGGCGATTAAAGAAAAACTAAGAAGTGTGTATGAAAAAAATTATTAAATACAATATCAAGTTTTAAGTTACAAATTGAACGTCAGTTATGTAATAAGTGTAAATTATGAGTAAAATTCAAAACTTGTGGTTAATGAAAACTAGAAAATATTAATCAGACATAAATGTGGTGTAGAACATGATGTTATGATACTATAGGGTAAGTGTGAACCAGAATCTGATCTGGTGTAGAACATGATGTTATGATACTATAGGGTAAGTGTGAACCAGAATTTGATCTGGTGTATAACATGATGTTATGATACTATAGGGTAAGTGTGAACCAGAATCTGATCAGGTGTAGAACATGATGTTATGATACTATAGGGTAAGTGTGAACCAGAATCTGATCAGGTGTATAACATGATGTTATGATACTATAGGGTAAGTGTGAACCAGAATTTGATCTGGTGTATAACATGATGTTATGGTACTATAGGGTAATTGTGACACAAAAATGTTGAAAGAACATGAACAGATGTGGCAGGTTCGGTTGATGAAGCAGAAAATAAATCATCAATTTGCAGCCTGTACATGGCATCTGTCTCATGGAGAACATCTCTATATCTCCTCCCTGACTGGAGAAGTGTTATGTACGGAAACATCTCTACATCTCCTCCCTGACTGGAGAAGTGTTATGTACAGTAACATCTCTATATCTCCTCCCTGACTGGAGAAGTGTTATGTACAGTAACATCTCTATATCTCCTCCCTAACTGGAGAAGTGTTATGTACAGGAACATCTCTATATCTCCTCCCTGACTGGAGAAGTGTTATGTACAGGAACATCTCTATATCTCCTCCCTAACTGGAGAAGTATTATGTACAGGAACATCTCTATATCTCCTCCCTGACTGGAGAAGTGTTATGTACAGTAACATCTCTATATCTCCTCCCTGACTGGAGAAGTGTTATGTACAGTAACATCTCTATATCTCCTCCCTAACTGGAGAAGTATTATGTACAGGAACATCTCTACATCTCCTCCCTGACTGGAGAAGATCAACATATTTTTTTACATGTACTTTTTTCTATTTCTAAATTGTTTTAGAAAAAAAAAACCCAAAAACATAAAATGTTAGTGTAAAAGAGATATACCTGAATTCCAAGCTGAAAGGTTTTGTCGCCACAGAAAAACCGCATCATCCTGATAACACTGGCTCCCTGAGTTATATAAACAATTTGAGTTCTAATGCTATTTCAAATGACGATGTAAAGAATAAATTGATATTTCTTATAAAATGCAAAATACATTGAGGATTTAATTATCTTACCTTATTAATGATAAAAAGTCTTTCATTATATTATTATATTTTTTTCATGGACATTGTAAAATAATTTTTCGGAGGTACTCAATTTAGGTTTTATTCTTATTTTTTTGCAATCCAATTTCGAGAAGATTTCAAGGATAAATATAGCTTGATTAAACTAATTACAATAATTTTAACAGTTAGTGGGCGTGTAATTTTGTGGACTTAGAGTACCCCCAAAATCAATGAATATAAAAGTCCATGAAAATTAATGATTCTACAGTAGATGTTATTTATGTGATGTAGCATTTTTTCTGTGTCACCTTGGAGTAGGAGATAGAGTCAAACACTTCGTTGATCTGGTCAGGATTAGCAACGGCAGCAAACAGCGGATGTGACGTGACGAGGGCATCAAAATCAAACGCTTCCTGGAGCTCTTCAATCGTAAAAATATCAAACTGCAAAAGAAACAGAATTCTTTAAGATCTGAAGTATGTGACCACATGTTCTACAAGTACACGACCCTAAACCAACATCCGGTCTCCAGTGATCAATTTTAGTGATCACAACTTTGTGAAGTGAGTTAAAGAAGGGACAATAAAGAATGGTTATTGTGTAGGTTGTTGTGAAACTCATCTCCATGACAACGAATCTCAACAAACATATATGTGGAAATTGTTAAAGTTTAAAAATGTCAGTTTACAATATAGGAAAAGTATCCATTTACAGGGAGATACAGATATCATTTTATTTACCTTGCTACTGACAGGAAATGTTTTCATCTGAATATCAGTATGACGGGAACAATATTGAGAGGACATAATCCATTATTTAGTGACAAATCCATTATTTAGTAACGAATCCATTATATAGTAACAGATCTATTTAGTAACAGATCCATTATTTAGAAACAAATTCATTATTTAGTAACAAATCCATTATGTAATATCGAATCCATTATTTAGTAACAAATCCATTGTTTAATAACAAATTCTTTATTTAGAAACAAATCCATTATTTAGTCACAAATTCTTTATGTATAATAACAAATCCATCATTTAGCAACAAATCCAATCGTAATACATAAGATACATTACCATACAACAAAGCATAGTAAGTCTACAGTGATGAAGATATCATGATCACCAAAACAATAGGTCTTACCTTACAGACATAACAACTATTGTCATCTCAAAAATGTACATTATCAGTTCAACAAGAAAACTCATGAAATCTTGACCCAATATTTTTTCTGTAACATCACATGTTTTAACCTACATATTTCCAGTCTGGAAATTTATTGTCAGCTCCAAAGTATTCTACAAAGGTCGCGAACCCTTCATTGAGCCAAAGGTCATCCCACCAGTCCAAGGTCACAAGGTTACCAAACCACTGAAATGTATATATGATTTAAAACATGCAGACTGTAAGACAAGCAAATAAAACAATCATAAAACTTTACACTTTCTGGTATTTAATGCTCAAGTGCTGTTCTATATATAGCAGACATTTTTTTATCTCTATGGAAACTGTATTTTTGTTCAAATCAGATTTTAAATTTTAGACATTTAAAACACAAATGCTTGTGTTGATGATGACCAAAAGATACAGTATGGAGATCGAGAAACAGAAAGTATCATCAACCTCCAGACAAACAAACTTGTCGTTGGAATATTATGATGTGTAAAACAAAATTGTAATGTGACGCGCTACCTGGTGAGCAAGTTCGTGTGTAATGACGGTAGTGACACGTTGTTTGTTTGACTCTGACGATACTCCCTCTTCATACAACATGGCCGTCTCCCTGTATGTGATAAGTCCCCAGTTCTCCATAGCTCCAGCGGCAAAGTCGGGAATGGCAATCATTTCTGTAAAAATCCCAGCGTACTTTTATGATACAACTTATAAAATGGAGGAACAGACAACTTACACAAACATGGACAAAGTGTAATTATCAAGATTAAAATTTTCATGTAGAATCTACTAAAATATTGATTCGATAAGATTAAATTACAACTACAACACAAATATTGACGCATTGGAAACTGAAAGTAAATTAATCAACATCAGGTCAGAAAAAACAACAGGCACCACTGAAAAAACGACGAAACTATTCTAAATGGAAACTAAATCACAAAACCAAAATATCATGTATTTAACAACTTACATTACAAGTGTTTAATTGAACATGATCAAATCTTTGTGTATTGTATCTTTTTGGCAAATTTTCACAATGATGAATATCCACAATGATTGTTATGTATATATTGTAGTGCAGTATTTTCACTGTAAAATGCCCTAAAATATGATCATAATAACCACAATATGTCTGCATATGAGTAATGAACTGCTAAAGAGTAAAAAACATATTAGATGTTATGCAGAAAGACATAGAATATAAATTATCATTATTTAGGCTGGTGAGTTTGGTTTCCATGCTTGCTGATTAACAGCCAGGATAATTTAAGATGAAGGTGATAGTGTAGTCCATAATAAATTTTCTAACAAGCTGTGATTCAATAAAAATTTCCAGCTTCACTATAATTACCGTTGTTATCACTCCTACATATAACACATGGTTTAATATTGATTCCACAACTCAATATTAACTGTTTCCTATTATAATCAGTGTTTACCTTGTTTCTTAAGCGGAAACTTGATATCGAAGTAATCCTCGTACAATGTTATAGTATCGATACCAACATCGAGAGCAAATTCCGCCTGGTCAATCATTTCTTTAGGGGCCAGTGCTCCGTACTGGGGAGGGAGGGGCGGAAACAAACATCATGACACATGATTATCACATCAACACTCTGTTTATAGAAAGTACAGTAAAATAATGATGAATACTTCCTGTATGTCAATCAAATTAATATCAGTACACGGAGGGAATCTATTATAATGTTAATCAGAACGTTTCTTATAAGTTTTGTTTATCTGTTTTTGTACTTACATATTTACTTACACATGTATCACTTATGTTGTACTTATCTAAATATATATATCATCATATTTATATGATCAATGAAGTAATAACGACAGTATGGACAAGCACATTGTCAAAATTTCGAGACAACCTGTCCCTTTATCAAGACACAAATATCACATAAATTACATCACACACATAGGACATTAAACAAATACAAATTAATTTATCTAAATCGAGAGCGGTGGTGTACATTTAAGTGTCTCGGTAATCCCTTCGGCCGATGGACGCTGAAGGCCTTCATAGCAGACAAAAAACCATCCGAAGTTGTTGTATGTAATCAAAATATCAAAAACGTTTTACAGAAATCTAGGTATGTTTTGCACTCTAGACACTGAGCGTATATGTGATCGCAACGAAAACAACTGCATGGCACACTCTGAGGACAATCGTCACATCATCATATCTATTTATACTTTTCTACTTGTACCCTTATATAAAACATTTTTCATTTTACTTATATCAATACTATTTTAAGTTTTACTTTTTCTGTATATCATACTTACATAATTTTATTTCTTATTGGAGGGAGCAGTTATACTTTCATAAATATCATTTTTACATAATATTTTTTGACATATGTCCTATGTCCTTTTTTAATACTTTTTCATGACACCTGCATATTAATGTACAGGTTTATTTGTTATACATAAATAATTTATTTAATTTTCAGTTTTTCATTATACTTTTTCATGGTACTTACAAAAACAGCAACTTACAGATTTCTTTGTAATACTTAAATAAAAACCATATTTTGTTTAATTTTCATTTTTTGCGTTCCACTTTTTCATTATACCTATATCTATGTTACAGGTATATACGACTTTTGGTTCGACCATTATTGTACTTACATAGATGCCATTCTTTGTAGTACCATTGATATGAGCAAAATCACAGACAACAAAGGCTACAAGGTAGGTAGACATGATCGGTGATGTATGGTAATGGTCGGCACGAAGGTTACCGTCTCTACAACAACACGACAGGTACATATCAAAGCTAATTATCAATTTATATCATTTGAATTCATGTAGGTTTTATACAAACAGCTTCTTCGTTTTTATCAAAAATGCTGTTATTTTTGTCATAATTACAAACAAACATATATTGAGAGCTAAAATTGAGTCCTTCAATACTAGAAATTGCTGATAAATACAACAAATATTTTTCTTTATGTAACATTGATAAAACTTTTTACATGCTTTGCTGAATTGCCTTAAAACTGCCATAAATCTATTGATTGTCTACTGATTAAGTACTACAAGACAGGAATTGGCTTTAGAGATAGTGATTTGTAGAAAATTGAGGATAAAATGATTTTATTATAATTCTTATATAACACACTGACCTTCTGTTCTCTCTATATTGTTATATAACACACTGACCTTGTTCTCTCTACATTGTTATATAACACACTGACCTTCTGTTCTCTCTAAATTGTTATATAACACACTGACCTTCTGTTCTCTCTATCTTGTTATATAACACACTGTTATTGTTATATAACACACTGACCTTCTGTTCTCTCTATATTGTTATATAACACACTGACCTTGTTCTCTCTACATTGTTATATAACACACTGACCTTCTGTTCTCTCTATATTGTTATATAACACACTGACCTTCTGTTCTCTCTACATTGTTATATAACACACTGACCTTCTGTTCTCTCTACATTGTTATATAACACACTGATCTTCTGTTCTCTCTATATTGTTATATAACACACTGACCTTCTGTTCTCTCTATCTTGTTATATAACACACTGACCTTCTGTTCTCTCTATATTGTTATATAACACACTGACCTTCTGTTCTCTCTACATTGTTATATAACACACTGACCTTCTGTTCTCTCTACATTGTTATATAACACACTGACCTTCTGTTCTCTCTATCTTGTTATATAACACACTGACCTTCTGTTCTCTCTATATTGTTATATAACACACTGACCTTCTGTTCTCTCTATCTTGTTATATAACACACTGACCTTCTGTTCTCTCTATATTGTTATATAACACACTGACCTTCTGTTCTCTCTACATTGTTATATAACACACTGACCCTCTGTTCTCTCTATACTGTTATATAACACACTGACCCTCTGTTCTCTCTATACTGTTATATAACACACTGACCCTCTGTTCTCTCTATACTGTTATATAACACACTGACCTTCTGTTCTCTCTATATTGTTATATAACACACTGACCCTCTGTTCTCTCTATCTTGTTATATAACACACTGACCTTCTGTTCTCTCTACATTGTTATATAACACACTGACCTTCTGTTCTCTCTATACTGTTATATAACACACTGACCCTCTGTTCTCTCTATACTGTTATATAACACACTGACCCTCTGTTCTCTCTATACTGTTATATAACACACTGACCTTCTGTTCTCTCTATATTGTTATATAACACACTGACCTTCTGTTCTCTCTATACTGTTATATAACACACTGACCTTCTGTTCTCTCTATCTTGTTATATAACACACTGACCTTCTGTTCTCTCTATATTGTTATATAACACACTGACCTTCTGTTCTCTCTATCTTGTTATATAACACACTGACCCTCTGTTCTCTCTATCTTGTTATATAACACACTGACCTTGCTTCTGTCCTCGCTATTTCCATGTTAGATAACGATATAAGATCAGCTTTCCTGACGACAGTGATTTGGAATTGTGCCTTCATGTTTGGTTCGTCGAAACATGGAAATGTCTTTCTGGCATCTGTTGGTTCCATTTGTGTGGTCGCAATGTATCTATAGCAACGAAGAGGATTATATAGGACAGCTAATGTACCTTAAAATATCCTAAGATTAATCATAATGTTTACAGTGTGGCCGTGTATAAAGAGAAATTTCACATTTATTTGTGAGTGAGCAGGTGTAATGAAGGTGATAACCAAACTAAAAGATGACGAAACATATTGTTTCTTTATCATATAACTGGTTCATTGTGTCACGTGACAAGACCAAGTCATACTCTAAAACAAGAACTAAATATGATGAGGACCGTTCAATAGGTCCCCCAAACAACCCTGCAGTTATATAGTGATGACTGAAAAAAGAGAAAGCTCTTCCACATCACCTCTTATACTCACTCTTGGAAAATTTGGCTGAATTCCATCCTGTAATTTTTGAGTAACATGTCAGACAGTGGAAGAAATTATGGTAATGATAATTATAATATCAAACAAGAGGCCCATGGGCCTTAACGGTCATCTGCCATAAAATACAAGATTTCAAATTTTGAACTTGAGAAAAAGTCAAAAATGTGTTTTCAAGATGGCAGCCATGACGGCCATGTTGGATTTCAGACCAACCTGAAATTAACAAACTTTGGTCAGGATCATGTCACGATCATTTCAGGTAAGTTTCAGCTCAATGTGACATGTAAAACTTGAGAAGAAGATGAAAATGTTTATGACGGATGATGAACAATGTACAACAGACGACGCCGGACAAAAGGCGATCGCAATAGGTCATCAGACCCTTCGGTCAGATGACCTAAAAACGGAGCATAAACAATGTGTCCGCTAACTTTGGGGGACATCATTATTGTAACATCACAAATAAGTTGCCTCTGAATGATCCCACATTACTGATGTCATAACGAGTGTGTTTCATTAAAATTCATTTTCTACAGATTTCTTCGGGCTGATGAATAATGTGTATATTTTAAGGAAAGTTAAAAAAAAATGTCAATAGAAAGACACCATACTTCACAAAGATTCTTGATAAAAGTCGTCTACTTATTTTATCAAACTGGATAAAAATACTCACATGGTGTCATTTCCCCTTTGGTAAGAGCTGTAGTAGAGTCCGACCATGTCGTCCTTCAATTGACCACTGTAGCTCATATCTAAAGTGTAGTTCTCTCCAACCTGAAGCTCACTGTCTATATCAAGGATAAGAAATTGTCGCTCCAAGTCATAGTTAATTTTCACCACATTCAGAGATGTGCCTGTGGAAGTGGACGTAACTTTGACACTTCCCTCGTCGATGGTCAGCGTATGAATATGTAATGTTATGTTGTTAGTCGCTTGTTTACAAGTAACATGGATGGAAACATTGCCTGTGAACTCAAAATCTTTCGGATCAGATTTATAGATATCAGGGTAGATATGGAGTTCGTATAAAAACGGCAGGATTGATCGAGGAAGTCTCACATCAGTGACTTTCATCTGTTTTTGATTATTTTTCTGTAACCACGATCGCACCGTCTCAAAGTTTTCCTTTAACCATTGAATGTTTGACTCCGTCTTCTCTATAGCTTGTTCATATGCTCTGTTTCCTGTACCCATGTCAGGGTGTTCCACTTTGATGTTACGTAGCTTAAATAAGAATAGAAATAAATTAAGTCATGAGGTGACTTAACTGAATTTAGAGATTAAACAGAAGTAGGGCATCACGAGGTCAGAGGTCAGCAAGGCTCTCCTATATCCCCTAATATCATCAAGAACTCGCCTGCCCATGTTGTTGAGGTTGATGACAGACACTGGGACTTCAATCGCAAGGAAGTCAGGTATACAACATATATGTACTTAACCACGATCCACTTTGTCCTTGACTTTTGGACCCAAATATAAAACCCAGTGACTCTGATCTTTGGTCAATGGAAAGGATACAAAATTTGGCATTGACCCTTGTACCTGATGACCTTGACCTTTAATTTTTGACCTTGCTTTTTTATTCACAGCATTATTTAATGAACCAAATATTTTATCCAAATTCCAAGTAAAATGGTCAATAAATACTTAACTTATCAACAAGGAACTGAATTTGTGGACGGACAAACAGACAGACAGTGAATAGACAGACAGTGATTAATGTAGGGCACCATAATAGGTACAATCACAATTACTGTTGGGTTTTTATCATCAGTAATTTTTTATCAATCCTGGTCAAGCAGGTGATGCATATACTTATATGTAGCTATTAGGGAACTGTACCATGGTTGCCATAGTGACAGATAATGTTACCATGGTACTACCTGTCTGAACATTGACCTGATCTGTTCTACCAAAACATTGTTCAGTCTATGTATAACATACCTCCTCCAAGTCGAATTCCGTGTTAAATGAACTGGTTGTGTCACTAATGATATTTGAAAATGAAGATGATGCACCACCAAACCTACAAAGATAAGATAAACAGCCATAGTATACAAGAGATCCCACAGGGTCTTGGCACCCACCATTGTTTCATCTTTATTTGCTCTTTGAAAGTTGGATCTTTTCCCTCATTTTTCTTCTCTTCTGTTTTGCTCTCAATGATAAAAAATTTGAACATTTCCTTGCAGAAATAGCGATGATAATCTTTACCTGCCAAATCCACCTGAAAGTCATTTTGTTTTTTCTGATCAGTTCCGAAATCAAATGGACACAACTAGAGACCAAATGGAACTTCAGTATGAAATTTAAGAGAGAAGAGATCCAATCAGTACTTCTTAAGAAATAAAGAAAACAATCTTTACTAAGTGAAATCCAAGATGGCTGCCTGTCAGCCATTTTGTTTTTCTGATCAGTCCCAAACTCAATCAGGAACAACTAGGGACAAAGAGGAACCTACACATGACATTTGAGAAATATCTATGTAGTATTTCTCAAGAAGTGTGAATAACAAACTTTCAAAATCAAAATCCAAGATGGCCACCTGTATGCAATTTTGCTTTCTTCATCAGTTTTAAAATTCATCGGGCACAACTAGGGACCAAGGAGAACCTACATATGAAATCTTAAGAGATATATCCAGTGCTTCTCAAGATATAGTGATAACAAAAATTGTATACAGATGGACGGACCATGGACGTAGGGTGATTTCAATAGCCATCTGATAATAGTGGGCTAAATATACATATGCCTATTTTTAAACACATGTGACTAATGCTATGGGTGTTTGAACTGCCGACCCTTTGGGTCGCATGATGACATTAAACTTTTGATAAAAAGGATGTTTTGGAACAACAAAATGCAATCCAAGTCAATCAGATGTTTAAATAATTGTACCCAGCAGACAAGGAGTCCCAATCAGATGTTTAAATAATTGTACCCAGCAGACAAGGTGTCCCAATCAGATGTTTAAATCATTGTACTTACTCAGCCAATAAGGTGTCCCAATTCGCCTTGACAAAATTCCAGGCTAGATCTCGACCAACAGAATGGCGTGCAACATAACGGATCACGTATCCTGCATCCTGTTTTCGAACCTCTTCTGCATTCAAACTCATATCAAGGTACCTGATAGAACACAATTACATACAGTATACATACTAGGATCATTGTATTGTAAGCCAACAAACATCAGCTGAGTTTGTGAAAATAAATTTTGTTATTGAATATTGGTAATTAAAGACTATAAAACTCCCAATATATTGTTGGGGAGAGTAAATTATATTGTTGTGAAGAGTAAAATTATATTGTTGTGGAGGAGAGTAAAATTATATTGTTGTGAAGGAGAGTAAAATTATATTGTTGTGAAGGAGAGTAAAATTATATTGTTGTGGAAGAGAGTAAAATTATATTGTTGTGGAAGAGAGTAAAATTATATTGTTGTGAAGGAGAGTAAAATTATATTGTTGTGAAACGGTGGAGGAGAGTAAAATTATATTGTTGTGAAGGAGAGTAAAATTATATTGTTGTGGAGGAGAGTAAAATTATATTGTTGTGGAGGAGAGTAAAATTATATTGTTGTGAAGGAGAGTAAAATTATATTGTTGTGAAACGGTGAAGGAGAGTAAAATTATATTGTTGTGAAGGAGAGTAAAATTATATTGTTGTGGAGGAGAGTAAAATTATATTGTTGTGAAGGAGAGTAAAATTATATTGTTGTGAAGGAGAGTAAAATTATATTGTGAAGGAGAGTAAAATTATATTGTTGTGGAGGAGAGTAAAATTATATTGTTGTGAAGGAGAGTAAAATTATATTGTTGTGAAGGAGAGTAAAATTATATTGTTGTGAAGGAGAGTAAAATTATATTGTTGTGAAACGGTGAAGGAGAGTAAAATTATATTGTTGTGGAGGAGAGTAAAATTATATTGTTGTGGAGGAGAGTAAAATTATATTGTTGTGAAACGGTGGAGGAGAGTAAAATTATATTGTTGTGAAACGGTGGAGGAGAGTAAAATTATATTGTTGTGAAACGGTGGAGGAGAGTAAAATTATATTGTTGTGGAGGAGAGTAAAATTATATTGTTGTGAAACGGTGGAGGAGAGTAAAATTATATTGTTGTGGAGGAGAGTAAAATTATATTGTTGTGAAGGAGAGTAAAATTATATTGTTGTGAAGGAGAGTAAAATTATATTGTTGTGAAGGAGAGTAAAATTATATTGTTGTGAAGGAGAGTAAAATTATATTGTTGTGAAGGAGAGTAAAATTATATTGTTGTGAAGGAGAGTAAAATTATATTGTTGTGGAGGAGAGTAAAATTATATTGTTGTGAAGGAGAGTAAAATTATATTGTTGTGTAGGAGAGTAAAATTATATTGTTGTGAAGGAGAGTAAAATTATATTGTTGTGAAGGAGAGTAAAATTATATTGTTGTGAAGGAGAGTAAAATTATATTGTTGTGAAGGAGAGTAAAATTATATTGTTGTGGAGGAGAGTAAAATTATATTGTTGTGAAGGAGAGTAAAATTATATTGTTGTGAAACGGTGAAGGAGAGTAAAATTATATTGTTGTGAAGGAGAGTAAAATTATATTGTTATGGAGGAGAGTAAAATTATATTGTTATGGAGGAGAGTAAAATTATATTGTTGT